CTTGCGGAGCTGGGAGCCAGCCCCACGCGGGACTCGATCCCAGGATTCCAGGTTCATGATCTGAGCCGAACACAGTCGCCTAACCAACTGAGCCACCCAGGCGGCCTCTGTGTCAGGTATTGTGCTAAGGTCTTCATGACTTCATAAAATTCTCACAGCCAGCCTAATGAGGTCCTCATTCTTCCTATTCTGCATGTGAGGAAACGGAGGCTCTTGCTCATGGACCAATAGCTTATGACCGGAAGAGTCAGAAGGGAACCTTCTTAAATGCTCTTTTCCCTGGGCTTCTGGGATCTTATTTGCTCCTGATTTTCCTGCTACCTTTCTGGATCCTCATTTTTGAGCTCCTCCCTCTTCCTTTATGTGCCTCTTGAATTACATGCTTGTTTCCTAAATGCTTTTCTTTCTCTTTCTCTGATGGCTCTTGGATCTCCGTCTCATTCCCAGATGACTTCTGTGAGCCCTGAAACCACCTATCCAGCTGCCTGTCCGGTATCTTCTCTTGGAAACCCCTCTGCTCAACACACCTAAAGTGAGGCCATGATCTTGCCTCCCAGTAACTTGGTGGTCCCTGCCTCAGATCAGGCATTATTACAACTTTTTTCTTTAAATTCAGTACTGTCTATTCAACATGATCTAGACTCATGGTTCTCAAAATTGTCTGCACATTGGAATCACCGAGAAGATTAAAAAAAAGAAAAAGATACCAATGCCTGAGTCCCACTCTACAAAGATGATTTCATTGTTTTGGGTTGTGTGACCTAGGCATCAATACTTTTTTATTGTAGGGGGAAAAAGCATATAAAATTTACCATCTTAACCATTTTTAAGTGCATGGTATGCAGTAGTGTTAACTATAGGCACATCCTTGTGCAACAGATCTCTGAACGCTTTCATCTTGCAAAACTCATACCCTGTACCCACTGAACAAAAACTGCTCCTTGCCCTCTTCCCCTCCATTCTGCTTTCTGTTTCTAAGCTTGAAGACTTTAGATGCCTCATATAACTGGAATCATGTAGTATTTGTCTTTTTGTGACTGACTTATTTCACTTGGCGTCAAGTTCATTCATGTCATAGCCTGTGATAGGATTTCCTTTTTTTTTTTTTTTTTTTTTTGCTGAATGATATTCCATTGTATGTCTATATCACATTTTCTTTTCTTCCCCTCCAGCTTTATTGAGATATAATTGATATGCAACTTGTGTAAGTTTAAGGTTCCATTGTGATAGTTTGGTATATGTATATATTGTAGAGTGATTACCATGATACATCTGTCACCCCACAGAGTTACCTTGTGAGTGTGTGTGATGAGATCACTTAAGATCTCTCTTACCAATTCTGAAGGATACAAAACAGTATTGTTGGCTAGAGTCACCCTCCTGTATATTAGATCCCTAGAACTTTTTCAGCTTCTAACTAGAAGTTTGTATCCTTTGACCAAATTCTCCCATTTCCCCCAGCCCCTAGCCCTTGGCAACCACCAGTCTACTCTCTGTTTCTATGAGTTTGGCTTTTTCAGATTCCACATATAAGTGAAAATGTACAACATTTGTCTTTGTCTTTCTTATTTCACTTAATGCCCTCAAGGTTCATCCATTTTCTCAATGATGACAGGATTTCTTTCTTTTTTATGGCTGAATAGCATTCTTTTATATATATCATTTTCTTTTCTTTATTCATTCATCCATCAACAGATACTGAAGTAATTTCCATATTCTGGCTATTGTGAATGATAACTGCAGTGGACACGAGAGTGCAGATATCTCTTCAAGATAGTGATTTCATTTTCTTGGGATACATACTAGCAGTGGGGCAGAGGGAGAGGGAGAAGCAGACTCCCCACTGAGCAGGGAGACAGATATAGGGCTCCATCCCAGCACCCTGTGATCATGACATAAGCCGAACGCAGACACTTAACCAACTAAGCCACCCCAGGTGCCCATGTTTCTCTACCTATTTTTAAATTGGGTTATTTGTGGGGGCTTTTGTTGAGTTGTAGGAGTTCTTTATATATTTTAGATATTAACTCCCTATCAGATATGTGGTTAGCAAATATTTTCTCCCATTTCATAGGTTGCCTTTCATTTCGTTGATGGTTTCCTTTACTGTGGAGATGTTTTTAAGTTTGATGTGGTCCCATTTGTCTATTTTTGCTTTTGTTTCCTGTGCTTTTGGTGTCATATCCAAGAAATCATTTCCAAGTCCAACGGCAGGAAGCTTTTCTATGTATTTTCTTTCTTTTTTAAAATATATTTTTAGGGGTGCCCAAGTGGCTCAGTGGGTCAGAGCCTCTGCCTTTGGCTCAGGTCATGATCTCAGGGTCCTGGGATCAAGCCCTGTGTCAGGCTCTCTGCTCATCGGGGAGCCTGCTTCCCCCCTCTCTCTCTGCCTGCCTCTCTGCCTACATGTGATCTCTGTCTGTCAAATAAATAAATAAAATCTTAAAAAATAAAATAAAATATATTTTTAAAATTTATTACTTGAGAGGGGAGGGAGAAAGGGTGAGGGAGGGAGAGAGAGAATCCCAAGCAGACTCCCGGCTGAGTGCAGAGCCTGTTGTGGGGCTCGATCTCATGACCCTGAGATCTTGACCTGAGCTGAAATCAAGGGTCAAATGCTTAACCAACTGAGCCACCCAAGTATCCCTTAAATATATTTTTATTATTTCAAGTAGGCTCCATGCTAGACATGGATGCGGGCCTCAAACTCACAAACTCAAACTCACGACCCTGAGATCAAGACCTGAGCTGAAATCAAAGAGTTGGACACAAGGGCACCTGGACACAGTTGATTTCACCTCAGGTCATGATCTCAGGGTTGTGACATAGAGCCTTTCATTGGGCTCTATGTTCAGCAGGGAGTCTGCTTAGGAGTCTCTCCTCTGTCCCTCCCTCATCCTCTGCCCTTCCCCCTGTGCCCCCCCACCACTAAAATAAATAAATAAATCTTAAAAAACAAGTAAGAGTCAGACTGAGCCACCTAGGCACCCCTCCTCTATGTTTTCTTCCAGGAGTTTTATAGTTTCAGGTCTTACATTTAGGTCTATAATTTATTTCATGTTAGATTTTGTATGTGGTATAAGGTAAGTGCCCAACTTCATTATTTTGCATGTGGATAATCAGTTTTCCCAGCACTGTTTGTTGAAAAGACTGTCCTTTCTCCATTGTGTCAGCTTGGCACTCTTGTCCAAAATCATTTGGCATATGAGAGGGTTTATTTCTGGGCTCTCTATTCTGTTCAGTTGGTCTGTATTTCTGTTTTCATACCAGTATCAAACTGTTTTGATTATGGTGGCTTTGTAATTTTTTTAAAGATTTTATTTATTTATTTGACAGACAGAGATCACAAGTAGGCAGAGAGGCAGGCAGAAAGAGAGGGGGAAGCAGGCTCCCTGCTGAGCAGAAAGCCCGATGCGATGCGGGGCTTGATCCCAGGACCCTGAGATCATGACCTGAGCCAAAGGCAGAGGCTTAACCCACTGAGCCACCCAGGTGCCCCTGTAATGTTTTTGAAGTCAAAAAGTGTGAGGCTTCTAGCCTTGTTTTTCTTTTTCTTTTTCAAGATTATCTTGCTATTCCTGGTTCTTTGATTTTCCATATGAATTTTAGGATTTCTTTTTCTGTTTCTGCAAAGAACATCTTTGGGATTTTGATGGGAATTGAGTTGAACTTGTAGGTCACTTTGGGTAGCACGGACATTGTAACCATATTAAGTGTTCCACTCTATAAACACAATGTCTTTCCATTTATTCGTGTCTTCTTTAATCTCTATCAGCAATGTTTTCTCATTTTTCGTTAACTTTATTTCTAAGTATTGTATTCTTTTTGCTACAATTGTAAATGGGATTGTTTTCTTCATTTCCTGTTCTGATTGTCCGTTGTTAGTGTGTGGAAACACAGATGATTTTTGCGTGTTGACTTTCTTTCTTTCTTTTTTTTTATTAACATATAATGTATTATTAGCCCCAGGGTTACAGGTCTGTGAATCGCCAGGTTTACACACTTGCGTGTTGACTTTATTTATTGCATCTTTGCCGTCTTTGTTTATCAGTTCTAACGGTGTTTGCGTGGAATTTTTAGGATTTTCTATGTATATGTCACCTGTGGAGTGAAATAATTTTACTTCTTTCTTTCCAGTCTCAGTGCCTTTTATTTCTTTCTCTTGCCTAAGCTCTCTGGCTAGGACTTTGGTACTATGTTAAACAGAAGTGGCAAGCGTGGACATCCTTGCCTTGGTCTTGTTCTTCAAGGGAAGGCTATCAGTTTTCCACCTTTGAGCATGCCCGCTGTGGCTTTTCATACATGGTCTTTATTAGGATAAGGTAGTTTCCTGCAGTGCGTCCAGTGCGTCCTAGTGCGTCCAGTGTATTGCCTCTTAACCACACCGTTAGAATAGCAAAGTAGGTTGTTTTCCTGCCTCCTATGCTCTTTTTTTAAAAAAATTTTTAAAAAGGTTTTATTTATCTATTTGACAGACAGAGATCACAAGCAGGCAGAGAGGCAGGCAGAGAGAGAGAGGGAAGCAGGCTCCCCGCTGAGCAGAGAGCCAGATGCAGGGCTCAATCCCAGGACTCCAAGATCATGACCCCAGCTGAAGGCAGAGGCTTAACCCACTGAGCCACCCAGGCTCCTATGCTTTTTAACGTCTCCAAACCACAGAGTGTGTAGAAAGAACCTGGGGGATTAGAACCAGCCACCACTAGGGCCGCTGGAGGGCAGGGGGTGGGGAAGAAGCAGGTGGCTTGGCCTTTCCCCGCCGCAGAGACGGGAGAAGCTGAGAGCTGCGGGGTGAGAGTGGTCTCTCCTCCCTCCGGTCTCAGGATGCCACAGCTAAGGCCCCGCCCCTCAGGAGCCTCTGGCCTCGCCCCGCCCCTGGCCCCGCCCCACTCCCTGCATGCTCCGCCCCGCCCCTCTCCCTGCATGCCCCGCCCTTCCAGCCTCTACGCGGGCCGTGTCCCACTGTGGGATCCCGTGGAGAGCCCCGCGTTACTTACTTTCAGCGCCCTGGGAGGAGGATGAGATCCGCAGGGACCGAGTGGAGCCCCAGAGTGTGTCTCTGTCGTGGCGGGAGCCCATCCCCGTCGGAGCTCCGGGGGCCAATGGCACGGAGTACGAGATCCGGTACTACGAGAAGGTGAGACGCGGTATGGGCGGCACCTGGGGCTGGGTGCTGGGGCAGTGGTCTGTCTCCATGCAGCTGCTTCCTTTTCTACCATCTCGCCGCAGAAGTCCTCCTTACTTTCTTCGTGAACCTATCCACCGACCTTCTAAGGCCTGAGTTCCTTCCTGTCCCCTCCACTCTGTGCCTGGACCCCAGGGCTCCTCCGCTGTCCCCGCTCTCTGCTTCCTCACCAGTCATCAGCTCCATTGTCGCCGCTTTTGCCTGGTGTTTACAGTTGACTCAGAGCGTTCCCTGGGGGCTGATCCAGATCTTGCTGTGGCCAGACCAGACATACAATTTGCAGCCCCTTTTAAGAAAAAGAATGCAGAAATACCATACTGTTTCAAAATTTACAAATTTTGAAACAAATTACAAAATGACCTAGGTCAAGTGGTCCACTGGAACTTGGGTGCTCCTAATATTTAACTGCCTGCTCTCGCGAGCAATGCCTGGATGGATGAATTATTGTTGCAGATTTACTGACATACGGGATGTATAACGCATGGTTTACAAATAAGAAGAAAAGATATACAGTGTCCTTATTGTAAACTGCATCTAGCTGAATGATCCGTATAGGAGGTTTTTGCCAATTTTTGCTGACTGCTCGTATCTGTTGTCTATCCATGGTTGCAGTTCAATCTTGACTTGACAAATGGAGAGATGTCCCAGTCCACTATCTCTTTTCCCCATAAATGCATTGTCTTTAAATGTGATCTGTAATCTGCTGTTAAAATGTTTCTCACCTTGGTGCAAATTTTATTCATTCAAGCGAAACCTTGCTTTCATCTTCAGCATGTCATGTCAGAACTTCACTCACCCCTTAGTGACTCGAGGGACTTCTTGGCTGAATCAGATAATAGTTTTTGGATACTGGAAGTCTACTGAGAGCTGTGGGTCGGGGGTGGGGGGTGGGGGGTGGGGAGTGAACACGGAAGAGGAGGGGCTCCTGAGTCACTGCTAGGTGATCTAGGGGATGGGGAGCCACCTACGGAGGAGGAGGATCAGGTCTGGGCTAAGAGGGTGAGCTTGGGTTGGTCCATGCAACGTCCAGGGAGTCCCTGGTACATCCAGGTGGGTTTGGGGGTCTGGATGCTCAAGGGAGGAGCCTGTCCTGGAAAAAGAGAGGTGGGGCCTTTCAGCATAGGGCTGGGAGCTGATCGAAGCCAGGGACTGGAAGGGAAGGCCAAGAAGGACCATGAGAGTGACAAGAGCAGCGGAGACAGAGCTCTGAAGAGCCCTGAGGTTAGGAGACAGCAGAGGAGGACACGTGGAAGGAGCTGGGCACGCAGTCACTGCTCACAGAGGGCTCAGTGAACTGACACCCCAGGGGGTCAGATCATAAGAGACAGAGTCCCGAAGCTGAACTGGGTGGGTGCTCCAGACCCCAAGGGGGTATGAATTTGCAGGGAACTGAAACCCTTGAAAAGAGGAGCCTGTGCAAAAGGAGCTCGGTTTGAAAGCCTTCAGGGGCATCGCAGATCCAAGTCCTGGAGGCATGGTGCTGCTCATCTGCCCATATCTGTGCACACCAGTCCCTCATCCCCTGCTCAGGGGCTTACTCAGGGCATCTGATGGCTGCCCCGCCCTGCCCCTGCCCTTCCAGTCTCGCTGCCTTTCCCTGGGTCGTTCAGATACCTGGAAGAGAGATTCCAATTGGCCCAGTTTGGGTCAGAGTCTGCCCCATTCCTGAATACCATGACCAAAGAACAGGGCCACATGATAATCAGCTGTGGGCATGACTGGGGCTCTAATAAGGTGGGAGGGTGGGCAGAGATGAAACAATGGCCACATCTCCAGTACATGCCATTATCAGACGTGCTGGGGAGCAGTATGACATAGAGATAAAGCACGGGGCCCGAAGGAATGAAGACGGTGTCGTTCTGATCCTTCCTTGATGTGACCATCACCTATAAAAGAATGAAATGCTACTGCGAGCACTGTAGGTAGCGAGGCCTCTGAAAGGGTCTAGCACAGCAGCTGGCAGTGAGCCAGCCCTCACTCCATGATAGCTGCCACTGTCCCTGCTGTCCAGCCTCAGGCGAGTCTCTCCACCCCTCTGTGCCCGATTCCTTGTCTGTGAATCCATGCCTTGCAGGACATCATGAAAACCAGATGACAGAGAGAAGGAAAAACTTTGTGAGCTGACAGGGGCCAGGCAGGTGTCAGGGATCATTCCTCTGAGGCATCAGCCCCAGCTCACCCTTGGGACCATCAGGCCCTGATGTCCGTCCCCAAGAAGGGGGATCTAGCGTCTTCTCTAAAGTTTCTCTTACTGTTCTTAGCCGGAAGTACCACTGAGTGTAGGAGGGAACTTGGGTGCAGAGAGGGGTTGGAGAGCCTGTGGAAGAAGCCTTCAGGGCTCTCCCCACATGGTCCCAGTCGGGCTTTCCCACCCGGTCCATGCTCACCTCAGGGTACTTCTCCAGCCCCCTACTCCTTGCCCCTCATTCTTCAAGTTGCTCAGGTCTGGTGCTGGATCTGGGCCTTACTTCTTGGTCCTTCCTCAGGGTCAGAGTGAGCAGACTTACTCCACGGTGAAGACAGGGGCACCTGCGGTCACTGTCACCAACCTGAAGCCGGCTACCCGCTACGTCTTTCAGATCCGGGCGGCTTCCCCAGGACCCTCCTGGGAGACCCAGAGTTTCAATCCCTCCATTGAAGTGCAGACCCCAGGGGAGGGTAAGTGATGTGTATGCGGGGAAGGGTTGGGTAGGGAGACCAACTGGGGAGGGGGTGGTTATCCGTGCAATTAAGGGAGCCTGCAGAACAGTTTAATTACAACCTAAATAATTTATGAATTTGGAATCCACCACCGAGGGCCTGTTCAGTGACATGAATTAAATGGGGGGCCTGTCCTGGGGGAGCTCACGGGAGGGGCTCATGAAGAACCATAAGCCACGTCTCAGCTGGGGCCTCCCAGCCTCCCAGGACCTCCCGTGTCTTGTAGAAACATCCCGTGCCCTCTCCAAGATTCTTGCCATTTTTCTTGGGAGGAGCTGTTGTCTCGCGGACACTCCTTGCTCCAACGGGTAAATTCTTTCCCATTCTGCTTCCTTCTCTCTGTCCTGATGGAGACTCAAACATGGGATGAGATGCCGTCCCTTTCCCCACTCAGCCTTAGAGTGAGAAGCACACTTCACTGAAGCTTGGGGACACAGAGGAGTTGCACCACAGCAATAAACAAAACAAAACAGGGCGAACTGTGCACGGTCCGGTGTGGGGGGGAATTGTATGGTATGTGAACCATTTCTCCAACAAAGTTGTTATCAAGACAAACAACAAAACAAAACAAAAGCTGAACATCAGATACCCTGATTCTAGAACAACACTGGCTTGTCCCCCCCACCCCGCCCCCTTTGTGGTATTCTGCTATCCGCTTCCTCCCTTCCCCTCACTCCCCTGGCTCCTCTCCCCTGCCCCACCCCCAAAGTCCCTTTCATGATGAGAGAGGAGCAGCTTAGCTGTGGCTTGGGCGGTTTTGCCTGCTGCTAACCCTGCCCTTGGGGTCTCACCTCTATCTACCCTGAGCAGTTCATGAAAAGTATTTTCCTGGACAAAGGCAGTTCCCCCTAAGAGGCGTTCTGACACCAGCTGTCAAGATAATAATTCTTTCCAACCTGCTACACAAGTCTAATCCAAGATAGGAAGAGCTCGGAGCCCAAAGGGAGGTGGAGATAAAATGTGGAGGGAGTTTGGGTTCTGGGAAGAGAGACAGCACTTCTTGCTCGAATGCCTGTCTGTGCCAGGCCCCGGCCAGGTGCTGGCAGGAGGAGATTAGAGCTCTGTGTTGAAGGCTGGGGAGCATTTGAATGTGTGGAGATGGGCAGGGAAGGCACGTGGGGTAGACGAATCCATCCGAACAAAGGCTCACCGGTTTGGCTGGAGTGAGTGCAGTGGAGGCGGGAGCTGGGATGGGCCGATGATTTCTGTTCATTTGGTGCTTCTCAGTGAGACCTGCTTGGTCCCCCGGCCTCCTTGGCTGTTGCTCAGGCTCTGGGGGAATTGGTCTCCCAGTCTGCGGAGCACTCCTTCCGCTGAGCTGTGACCCTGACTCAGGAGCACGACGAAGGACCCCGTATCAGCTACCCTTTGCTTGTAACAGATTACCCCAAAGCAAGTAGCTGTGAACAGCCAACACTTGTTCTCTCATGGGTTTTGTGGGTCAGGCACCTGGGTGCTGCTTAACTAGGTGCCACGGGCTCAGGGTCCCTCCCGGCTGTGGTCCCTCAAGGCTCAGGTTCTCGCTGGCTCTTTGCCGGAGGCATGGGGTACCCTGCCTCTTGGGCTTCTCCCTAGAGCTCCTCGTCACCCAGGAACGCGATTCTTTCGGAGACTGTGAGTGAGAGAGAGACAAGGTGCCCAGGACAAGCCACAGGCTCCTGTCTGTGACATCCCGCCCCTTCGGAGGCATTCTCTTCATTAGAAATGAGTCCCTATGTCCAGCCCATGCTCAAGGGGACTGAATACCAGTTGGTGGGGAATCCAGACGGGCACATCTCGGAGGCCACCTGGCACCATCACCCCGTCTCCGTGTCCACGTGGACATCTCATTTCAGACACTTCTCAGCAACTCCGCCTGCCTCTGTCCCAGCCAGACCCTGGGTCCTGTTCCCACCTCTGGAACCATGGGTTTTAAAATCCCCTCATTGACCTTGGCCTTGTTGGCCTCTAACTCTCTTTTCCTCCTCTGTCTCTTGTCACTTGACTGTGCATCCTCCTTATAGGCCTGGGGATCCGACCTCATCTCCGAGGCTGTGAGCCCCTCCTGGCCCCATGTCGCCCCGGCCACTGCGGATCCTCCCCGGGGAAATGCTCTCCAGCCGTGTTGGTCCCCACTCCCTGGACACTGTGCTGCACCCGCCCTGCTCATCCCAGAGCCTGGAGCCGGGAGCCGGCCTGAGTCCTGTGTCCCACACCTCACCTAATCTCAGCTGAGTCTCTGGGGCTGTGTGGCATCTCCCCCACTCTAAGTAGTTTTCCCAAAAGGCCTCCTCTCTCAGGCACTTCCTGTCCATCCCTGCTCCTGACAGATGACTTCATCCCTTTCCCCTCAGTCAGGATCTCTGTCCATCGTTCCCTGTCACCCTCAGGATGAAGTCCCTGCTCCTTGGCCTGGCATCCCAGGCCTTTCAGGTGCTGTCCACCTCCCCCCCACCTTTCCCTTTTTCCTCCTACTTCCATCCAGCTTCACATCTGGCCCTTCTCAGCCCCCACACGGTCTGTTTCCCAGCCCCACGGGATGGCTTGCCATTTTCCAGACCCAGCTTGTGCTCCCGAGCAACACCAAAACCGTCCCGAGCTCCAAGGCCCGGTGCAGATGCCACAGCTCTTCTGTGAGGCCTTCCTCACTGGCTTTAGGAGGAAAGGAGCCTGTCTCTGCTCAGCTGTCCGCTTCTGTTTTCATTCTATAGTTGGAATTCTGTTTCTGTCTCCCCCACTGGTCTGTACACTTCCCGGGGTGGGGATTCTGACTTATTCATCTCCGTCTTCTGAGGGCTGGTGGCAGCCTGTCATACAGGTTGAGTGGAGGGATGGACAGATGGATGGATGGATGGATGGATGGATGGATGGATGGATGGGATTGGGAGTCTGGGGTCCTCCTGGCCCCTCTCTTGGGGAAAGAGTTCACAGTAGAGGCTTTTGGAATCAGGTTTGAATCTTAGGTTCACCATGTATTAGTTGTGAGACCCTGGGCAGATTGCACAACTTTTCTCAGTGTCGGTCTCCTCGGCTATAAAATGGAGACACCACTACCTTACCGGCTGGTTGTGACCGTGAGCGGCGTCATTTAGTTAAGGCACGTGGCACAGTATCTTGAATGGAGTAAGCGTGCATTCGGTGTTCCCTTACTGTGATGCCAGCCGGTCCGGTTGGGGCTGGGGAGCTGCAGGGAGAGGCTGTTCCCCCTGCAGAGCTCCATTAAGTCAGTGCCCAACGGAAAGGCACAAAGGGAGGCCCAGGCATGCCTGTCTGGACCCCTGGGGGGGTCCTCTCTCTCGCAGAGCAGGACTGCAGGGAGAGCAGGAAGCTCCAGGTGCCACTGCAGGCCCTCGGCTGTGGGGGCGCGGCAGGGGTCGGCCTTGGGGCCTGGGGCAGGCCCTCTGCCTGCCTCAACCTTGTGCTTTACCCCCAGCTGCCTCAGGGTCCAGAGACCACAACCCTGCGGTGGTCGTCACCGTGGTGACCGTCTCAGCCCTCCTCGTCCTGGGCTCCGTGATGAGCGTGCTGGCCATGTGGAGGAGGTAGGTGGCTGGTCTCAGCCGGGCTGACTCCCAGGGGGTTGGGTCCCTGGGCACCCGCATGTGCATCACAGTCCCTCTGTCTGTACCTGTGTTTGCACGTGTGCAGATCTGCGCACGCAGACATCTTGCTGTGTAGACGGAGCCTGGGCTGGCGAGCTCGCAGCCCCTCCCCCCACTTCCCGCTCCTTGAGGCAGCAGCCGGCACCGCAGCTGGCTCAGCCGCTGGGGGATGAAGGGGATTTAGCTCCTTAACTCATTAAATGTCAGAAGGCATCACTGAGGATGGAATCAAGCCCCGGCTGCTCCAGTGTGATTAGGATTCTCCTGAGGCGCTCAGAGGCCCCCAGCCCTGGCCCGCAAGGGATCCTGAGGCCCTTTAACACAGGCAAGGGGAAGAAAGGCAGAAATTGTGTGTGGGAGCGGGGAGGACAGGGAGGGGATCTCAAACACCAGAACCCCCCATCCCCCACCCCCAGCAGGAGGACGTTTGCAGGAGAGTGGGCAGAGAAAGGGAATGCGAGGAGGGGGAAGGATGTGGAGCTTGAGTTTGGTTCAGAGAAGATTCCAATTCTTTTGCACGCGGCAGAAACCTCATAGCATGTATTTCTGCCTTCTCCCCAGGGCCACACTCTGCTGCACGCAGAGATACGAGGCTGGGGCTGAGGTCAGCAGACTTGAGGGGTGGAAAGTCTGCATGTGATGGGCTGGCGGGTTGGGGGGGCACGGTGCGGGGTGCAGAGGAGAGTGATGGCTGCTCCGGGAGCTGCATTCCCAACTCATCTCAGCATCCTGGAACTGCCTGTGGGCTGGAGGGGCAGGGAGCATTCACACGGCACTGTTTTCTTGGCCTTGAATGGAGCTCTGAAAGTGAGGGGAGAGCCTTGGCCTGGGGGTTTGGGAGCCCCTCTGCCTGGGCCAGGATGGTAAGGGAGGCAGGACGGGAGTCATGAGCTCCTTTCTGGTGCTTAGACGCCCACACTGGACCTGTTAGGAAAATAGGACAGGATTGGACAAGAGCTGAGAGCCTCTTGTCCTGGCTGGGAGCTTAGGGGTGTGAGGAGCACACCTCTGGGGAGGAGCTGTGCAGGACAGTTTTAGCCGCCCAGGAGCACCTCGGAGCAGATGTGCAAGGGCAGGTAGAGTAAACCAGGGCTCACTCTCAAAACCTGCTCAAAATCCAGGGGCACAGAAACAAGGAGAAGCTGCCCATCAGGTGCTGATGGGCTTGTCCAGCCAGCCGCATGGGCTGATCGCTCTCAGGGTCCCTGCCGCACTTGCCCTCTGCAGGGTCTCCTCCCCTCCGCTCTCCCTCCCCACCCCACCCTGGCTCATCCCACTTCTCACCAGAGGGTGTCCGTTTCTCTGCCCCTCCTCCATCCGTTCGGCCTTGCTCCCTTCCTCTCCACCCACCTTTCCTGGATGTTGCCCTCATTCATGGAAAGTCCAGTCACCACACTGGGTGACTTCAGTGACCCTTGGATAACCTCCCATCCCTTGGCTTCTTGGTCCTTTGACTTGCTCAGTCCCAGGGACCTTCTGTTCCGTTCCGCCTCCGCCTCCCTCTCCCGTGTCCTGCCATCGAGCTGGCCATCACCCCAAATACTGTGTCCGACTGGCTCTTCCACTTACGCCCTGCAGGTGCGCTGTCCTTATGGCCACGTCTGCCGCACCTGCTCCTTCGTGCATCCCCAAGTCTATACACCTGCCTGTCTCCACCCCCATCCTCTCACCTCCCTCTGCTCTAGAGTAGGTGCCTTCCTCCCAGTCCATCCTGCTGTGTTGCGTACCCCGCCCCTTCTCACCATCTCAGGAGCCCTACTATTTGTAACGTCCCCCTCTGCCCCACATAATAGCTGACATTTAGTGAGTGCTTTGTAAGCTCTGTGCAACCCTGCTGTATTGGGCGGGGCTGTCTTTATCCCGATTTTATTAAAAAGAAATCCGAGCCCACCCAGCCCTGCTGCTACCAAGTGCAGGAGCTGGGAAGCCAGTTCCTGCATGAGGTTCCAGAGCCCGTGCTGCTAACCACCATCGTGACTACTTCAGCTGCCTTTCCCATCCATATAGAAACATCTCCCTAACTGCCCCCTTCTCCGAGCCTCCATGCCATCACTCTCCCCTGTACCATTTTTTCTTTCCTTCCTTCCTGTGCCATGGTCACCCCTGATTTTCCTTCTGCTTCCCTTTAACTCGTGATCTCCTCTGTGGCCTCTTTCTTCTCTACCCGGTCTCTGAATGTCGGGGTGCTCAGACTTGTCCACAGTCCCACTTCCCAGGCTCTGTCCTCTGCCTGGACGGTGCTCACAGCTCCCCAAAGAAGACGTCTTCTCCATCCGCCCCTCATTTCTAACTCCCTACTCCGCACCCCTCCCTGCTCACCCCGTGAGCTCTGCAGATTCCCACCGGCTCAGCGCGAGCCTCTCCTCTCCCCGTCCTGGTCGATGGCACCACCGTCCAAGGCTGGGCAATCCAGAACATGAGAAGTCATTCCTACCTTCTCCTTCCCCTTTCTGCCTTCCAGCAGTCCTGTCACCTCAACGTCACTTGAGTCCTCTTGCTTTTCTCCAGCTCTGTGCTCCCCCTGCATCCCAAGGCACCACCGCCAGCTCCTGTGGGTGCAGCCCAGCAGGATCTTTCTAAAAGGCAGCTTGAGTCATGGTCTCACCTGCTCAGCAGTGCCAGGGGGTCTCCTCCGGGCCAGCAAGGACCCGCCTCAGGGCAGCTTGGGTTCAAAGTCAGGGGTATAGACTTGGGTGCCTCTGGAGTTGCAGGAACGTGCATTGCGTCTCCGAGTGAAAATAATTAGGAATGGGGATGGGGATGAGGGGTTAGGTCTGGGGTTAGGGTTCTGTGTCAGCTGTGGGGAGGATCTTTCAAAACAGGACGGGAAGGTCCCTCCCCAGGGCTCAGATCTTCCTGGCTTTGAAGGGTTAAGGAGCTGCCACCCTCGGTGTTGGGAGATGGGCGGGGCTGGGGCTGCCTCCATCCAAGAATGCCTCTGTGCCTCCCCAGGCCCTGCCCCTATGGCAAAGGAGGTCAGGACGCCCACGATGAGGAGGAGCTGTATTTCCACTGTGAGTAGTCACCTGGCCCCTGCTTAGCCCTCTTCCTTGCTGTCCTTCATAACCCCGCCCCGTCCCCCCCCCCCGGGCCGCGGAACCCCTTCCCCTCCCCCCCCCCCCACTCCCCACCCCCAACCCTGGCCCATTTCTGTCTCTCTCTGCATTCCAGTCAAAGTCCCAACGCGCCGCACATTCCTAGACCCCCAGAGCTGTGGGGACCCTCTACAGGCTGTTCATCTGTTTGCCAAGGAGTTGGATGCAAAAACCGTCACCCTGGAGAGGAGCCTCGGAGCAGGCAAGCTGGGCCCCTGGGAAGCCTTGTCTGTCCCAAGAGCCCCTTCTTCCCTACCCCACCTCAGCCCCCCAGGCTTTCCCCATTTCTGGAGCCCCTGCCTTCACCCCAGTCTGTCCAGGAGGCCCCAGCTCCACCCCAGATGGGACCTCTACCCACCAGGTTCCAGGGAAGGGGATGGCAGAGGGGGTCTGTGATCCTGCCTTCCTACCCTCTCCCCGACCCCATGGTCACCGAGACCTGCCCACCCTAACCCTTTCCCCAATGGCCTCTGCAGACTGCCCCTGGCGGGAGTGTAGTCCCAAGCCTTCATGGAGGGGGCAGTGGGGAGGAGCATTCATAGACTTGGGGACCAGACACACCCCTGAGTTCTAGTCCTGGCTCTGCCGCTGACCAGCTTGGAACATGTTCCTTGTCTATGAAATGGGCACAAGAACTGCCTTGTCGGGGGGACTGTGAAGCCCATGTCACGTGGCTGATTCTCAGTTTACTGTGATTTGAACTCGGGAGCCCCGAGCCCCAGGCCAGAAATGGCCCGTGATCCAGAAGCTGCTCTCTCCACTGCTCACCGAGCCTGGGTTGGCCAGGGGGTGACCCCCAGAGGACTGTCTGAGGTGCTCTCTTCTCACAGGGCGGTTCGGGGAGCTGTCCCTCGGCTGCCTGCAGCTCCCTGGCCGCCAGGAACTCCCCGTGGCCGTGCACATGCTCAGGGATGGCTGCTCTGACTCCCAGAGGCTCAGCTTCCTGGCTGAGGCCCTCACCGTGGGCCAGTTTGACCACAGCCATATCGTGAGGCTGGAGGGTGTGGTCACCCGAGGTAGGGCCATGTGTTCTGCAGCTATGGGGGTGGAAACGGGGTGGAAGGTGGGGTACTCCTATGTCCCCAGGCCCTTTCTCCAGCCATGGGAGGGAGCCCCTGAGCTGCCCGGTAGGGAGAGAAAGCCTCAGCTTTTCTTTCACTGACTCAGGGAGGCCCTTTTGACCTTGAAAGACCTTTCTGACCTGTCATGGCACTGTGGGGGGTGGATGGCTTGGACCTTGGGTGATTTTTTTTTTTTTTAAAGTCCATAATGAGTTTTTTCTTTAAAGATTTATTTATTTATTTGACAGAGCGAAAGAGACCACAAGTAGGCAGAGAGGCAAGCAGAGTGAGAGGGGGAAGCAGGCTCCCCGCTGAGCAGACAGCCCGATGTGGGGCTCGATCCTAGGACCCTGAGATCATGACCTGAGCCGAAGGCAGAGGCTTAACCCACTGAGCCACCCAGGCACCCCTTGGGTGATTTTTCTTAGCGAACTTATTGCAGCTCCTAGATCTTGGTCATTGTCCTCCTCCCTATGCCCCCTCTTTTGTTCTTTGGCATAGAGGGTCCTGGGTCATGCAGGAGGGTGGCCCGGCTGGGGAAACTTCTTTCTGGCCATCTTGGCCCAGGCTGGGGCCCGGGTTGGGGGAGCATGTGTGCACGTGGAGGGGAGCAGGCAACTTAGCGTGTGTGTCCCCCTGCCGGGCACAGGAAGCACCTTGATGATTGTCACTGAGTACATGAGCCACGGGGCCCTGGATGGCTTCCTGCGGGTGAGTGGCTTGGGTCCCGGGCTGGGGTACCGCTCACCATGTGAGTCTTCATCCCTCACTTTTCTCTTTGGTGGGACTTGTACTTGGCATCATTCCCTAAAAAGGGGCCCCTTGGCCAGGCCTACCTGGTGGGTCCCAGGGCAAACCCAGAGATGGGTAGGTGACTTCCCTGAGGTCCCACAGCCCCCAGAACTGAGTGTTCCTCCCACAGCGTCATGAAGGCCAGCTGGCGGCCGGGCAGCTGTTGGGGCTGCTGCCCGGGCTGGCGTCAGCCATGAAGTATCTATCAGAAATGGGCTACGTTCACCGGGGCCTGGCGGCCCGCCGTGTGCTGGTCAGCAGCAGCCTTATCTGCAAGATCTCTGGCTTTGGGCGGGGTCCCCGAGACCGAGCAGAGGCCGTCTATACCACCATGGTGAGGATTCCCTTCTCCCAGGTGGACCTGCCCATCAGACTGCACCAGGTTTCCATCACCCACTCCCGCCCTCTGCCTTGCCTGGTCAGGGCCACTCTCCCTACGGTCCCGCCCTTCCCCCCACTTGGCCCCGAATAAATGCCGGTGTGGGCATCATTATGTGCCTTCCTGAGAGGTGCCGCTGGGAGGATGGCAGGTGGGGCTGGATCTGGGCTCCATGGGCTGGGGAGGCCTGGGTGTGCTTGGGCCAGTCCCTTCCTGTCCCTGACCTGCTTGTGTGTCCGCAGAGCGGCCGGAGCCCAGCGCTGTGGGCTGCCCCTGAGACCCTTCAGTTCGGACACTTCAGCTCTGCCAGTGACGTGTGGAGCTTCGGTGTCGTCATGTGGGAGCTGATGGCCTTTGGGGAGCGGCCCTACTGGGACATGTCTGGCCAAGACGTGAGTGACTCAGGCCCCAACTCCCTGACCTCTGCCCATTGACCCTTCACCTCTCAGCCCTAGGCCCCTCTTCACTGTCTCCTTGCTCCCTGTCCTGCCTGGTCACATCTTCCTGGGGATGGGATGCTGTGTGCATGTGCTGGAGGGACTTAAAGCTTCCCATCTGCCCCTCGCCCCCATGGCCCAGGTGATCAAGGCGGTGGAGGACGGCTTCCGGCTGCCCCCGCCCAGGAATTGCCCCGCCCCCCTACACCGGCTGATGCTTGACTGCTGGCAGAAGGACCCTAGCGAGCGGCCCAGGTTCTCCCAGATCCACAGCCTCCTGAGCAAGATGGTACAGGACCCAGAGCCTTCGAAGTGTGCCACAGCCAACTCTCCCAGGTATAGCTGATGCCCCATGTGTCCTGGATACACTCCCACCCACCCACCCCAACCACCAGATACAGCCAACCTCTCACCTTGCCACGAGTGGCCTCCCAACATGGCTCGAGCATAACTGCCCCACCTGCCTCACACCTGTCCCTCCAACTGTCCCCCACCCCACCTGTCCCCCCACCTGTCCCTCCCACCTGTCCCACGCCACCTGTCCCACCCTACCTGTCCCACCCTTACCTGTCCCACCCCACTTGTGTCCCCCAACTACTCCCCTACCTGTCCCACCCCACCTGTCCAGGTAGGACTGCTCACGCAGTTGCCCTGGATAGATCTGCTACTCCTCCTGCCTCAGACTCATGGATGTTGTCCTCCATCTTAGTCACTCTACTTGTCCTGGGTTTTGCCTCACACGTCCCACTAAAATGACCACCGACTGGGTGAATGCGTGTGGAAATAGTTCTAACAGGTCTGTAGTTGCAATAAATAAGTGAAGTGAGTATTGTAGTTGTCCCAAATATGACGTGGGTCACCCCCAAATCATCCTAGGTGTGTCCTCCCCCCCAAGACTATTCCAGATACTCCCAGTACCTTTAGCTGGCTCAGATGCAACCCGTTCTCTACCTACCTGCCTGCGTATCTTGAAACCCATCCCTGTTCTGATGATGTCTCATACTCCGTGGGGCCAGGTCCGCCCTGGGGCTCGGTTGCTCTCCCCTTATCTTGTCCTTTCTCAGCTGGCTTCTCCTCAGGAGGGTGGCCAGTTCTGCTGTTGACTGACCATAACTCCTCTGCCCCCCAGGCCCCCCACCCCCCTGGCGGACCGCGCCTTCTCTGCCTTCCCATCCTTCGGCTCCGTGGGTGCATGGCTGGAGGCCCTGGACCTGGGCCGCTACAAGGACAGCTTCACTGCCGGTGGCTACGGGAGCCTGGAGGCCGTGGCTGCCATGGCCGCCCAGTGAGTCGGAGGAATGTGTCCGGGAGGCCCGAGCCTGTCCCAGTTCTGGGCCCTTCCCTGTCCCAACGGAGGGAGGGAGAGCAGAAGAGGGTTGGAGCCAGTGGGGTCTGACCAGCCCTTCTTTCAGGGACCTGGTAAACCTGGGCATCTCGTCGGCAGAACATCGAGAAGCCCTCCTCAGCGGGATCAGCGCCCTGCGGGCATGTGTGCTCCAGCTGCAGGGTCAGGGGGTGCAGGTGTGAGCTGCGCCGGCCCTCGGGGGCCAGGACCCCAGCCCTCACAGGGACCCTGGCCCGCCGCGCCCCAGTGGGGTCAGAGTGAGCACGTGTTCCCTGCATTTGGGGCCTGGAGCGTGTCTGGGACCACAGTTTCCCTCCTTTCACTGCCTACTCCTCCCATTTTCCCTGGTCTGGACCCCTTGGCTGACTCAGCCCCCCGGCCAGAGGGTTCAAATCCCTGGGGAGAACCCCTGAGATAACACAGGAGAAAATGCAAGGTCCCAGAGACCATGGCGGGTGGGACGGAGAGGGAAGATGTAGCTTTAAATTGCCTGGTTCATGTTTTCCTGTCTTCCATACCCACTGGGGTCTGGGGCCTACCCCAGTGGGTGTCCCTTTTCCCCACAGACCTATTGGCCAGTTGGCAACATGGGTCCCTAATAAGCTCCCAAGAGACCTGGCAGGGACCACCGCTTCCTGGCAGCCTGTCCTGAAGGGTCCCAGAAAGGTGAAGTCCTCAGCTTCCTGCACAAGGGCTCGGCCCTGTCTGTACACTGGTCCCGGGGCCCAGGCAGCAAAGATGGTGCTGAGCTCCGGGCCTGGACCCTAAGGGCCCCAGACTTGGAGTTGATTTCTGCCTCCCCTGGCCTTGGGCTGGGAGTTCAGGGTAAGGGAGAGGGTCCTGGCTAGGCCATTAAGGTTCTGGTGCTCCCCCGAGGCCCAGCGAGGCCTCCCCTTTGCATTCCTTTTATAAATTCACTGGCCTGGACATCGGAGACAAGCATGAGGGGAGAGGCTTTCTACCTGGAAGACCCCTGAGCGTTGCTGTCCTGCCACGGGGGATGGTGAAGACGTCCTCAGGGTGGACCTTCTCTCTCCGACAGGCTCTGAGCCACACTGTGCAGAGAGGAAAGATGGAGGCTGGCAGAGGAGTGAGGGCCGGGGCTGGGGTTGGAACCCACGGGCCTACCTCCCAGTCCGGGGCAGTCCAGAGGTCGGCTCTGGAGAGAGAGTCCCTGGTCCTACCTGTACCCCGTGGAAGCCCAGTGGTGCTCTGAGGTGACCACCTCTCGCAAGTGCTGTCTCCTGGGCACCACTCAGCCTCCTGGGGGCACCTTTGCCCTCTGGTTTCTGTGGGGCTCCAGCAGGAGCGGCCACACTGAACTAACTCCAGAGTTCCTTATCCGGAAGGGCTTCCCGGAGGTGGTGGTGATCGTGAGGCCAGGGCTTTCATAGGATGGCAGGAAGGCAGCTGGGTCTGGACAGGATTCCAGGGGCTGCGTTTGTCCAGGTCTCCCCTGCCATATGCCTACTCTGGGCTTGGCTGTGGGGTTGGGGTCGGGGGGAGGAAGAGCCGAGGGGGAGACAAAGGAGGTGGATGAGACATCGAGCTGGCCCATGGAGGGCTCAGCCTAGGTGGGGAGACAAGCTCAGGCACTGAGAAGGATGACAGGGGCACCGTCCAAAAGTGTTCTGGGCTCCACAGGAGACCTCTGGGTCTGTGGGCCGGTGGGCCCGAGGGGAGGTGGACACTCTTGTGATTTGTGTATATGGAGGTGTGTCTGGAAAGGCTTCTTGGCTGAGAGGCTGATGCATAAGTTGAACAGGCTTTGAGGGTACGAGTGGGGGCATCTCTCCTTGGGGTGGGTGGAGTTTTGCATAGGCCAAGATGGAGGGCCTAGGACAAGAGGCATCCAAGCAGAGGGGCTAGCATGAGAAGGAGCCGGAGGGTGGATGATGTGCATTTTGGGGGAGCACCCGTGGTGGGGGACAGTGCCTCACATCAGTGCCTTTGGCCTCACCCTGCCAGCAGCAGCTCATCTGTCCTTGAGCCCCTCCCTCTGCTCCCCACCTCCTAGGCACCTGCCTTAGTGACTTTGAGGGTACCGGGGGAGCTCGAGATGCTGCTTCCACCTTTGACAGGGCTGGAGGGTATGGTCCCTTGCCAGCTGCCCTCCAGGCTCGCCCCCTCCCCCCACCCAAGCTTGGAAAGGACGTGGTGGGGAGGACCAGTGTCCCATCTTGGGTGGAGGGAGGCTCAGCCCCATCTCCAGCACATCAGTCATGCTCTGAAGGCCCAAGTTCCCTCCCCATCCCCCAGCTGTTCTGCAGAGGGGGCTCCTGGCTGTGCTGGCAGGACTTCGGTGTCCAGGGTAGACCCCCCTCTATGGAGGAGTGAGGTCCCAGAATCCTGAGGGGTCCCAGACCTCTGCCCTGCACGGATGCGGGCTGATGGCTCTCTGGGAGCCCTCTACAGATCTATTTTTATATGGAACTTGTTCACTGGACAGAGGGAGGTGGCCTGCAACCCTCCGGCTCCCCCATCTGAGCCCATTTGGGGAGGGAAGGGGCTGGTGGTGGGGAAGGGGGTGGTTCCTTTGACTAATTCTGGAGATGTTTTTATATTTCGTGGGTTCTATATGCAGGACAAAGTAATAAAAACTTGTCTGTGATATGGTATCTCTTTCAGTGACAATTGCTTACCCATTAAGATCTTATGTGGGGGGGTTTCCACCATCCCCCACCCGCCGTGGGGTGTCTCCAGAGTTGTGTCTGAGGTCTCTCTGTGTAGACATAAACTGAACGGCCCTTGGCCATGAAATGTCTCCCAGTCTAGGGAGGGTGGCCTGGGAGCAGAGAAGGAGGACTCAGAAGTAGTAAACCAAGGAAAGCTTCTCCCTAGCAGGTAGCACTCGGGAGGTGGTGCTGTTTTCTGAAGTAGACAGCACAAGGGGAGGAGAGCAGGCTGGGTAGGCGTTGGGGCGAGGAAGGCGGGAAATGACGCGCTTGGTTTTAGATGTGTTTGAGGCGTGCAGGTGGAGAGATGCCTAGGAGATGGGTGGGTGCTGGGTCTGGAACTTGGCACAGATGCGGGCTAGAGACGGAGCTCTGAGAGCCACGGTGAGAAGGAGGTCGCCCTGGGCTAGCCCGGGGGAGCAGAGGGAGCTCTGGGGCGATCTCCGGGTGAAGAAGAGCAGGAGACAGAGCCTGAGGGGAGCCATGGAGAGACGCCAGGAAGCAGCCAGCCATCTAGGCGAAGGAGCAGTGAGTGTGGATGTGAAATTCAGAGAAGCCGCGGGAGCCTAGCTGGGGGCAGCCATCAGGGGGTGTTATCTGAGGCTGGGCTGTTCCCAGGGAACCGCAGACTCATGTTTCCCACCTCTGAGCTCATCGTCCCACAGTCCCCGGGGCGAGAAGTCAGAGATCCAGGTGTTGGCACGGTTGGCTCTTCCCGAGGACTCAGGGAAGGACTCGTCCCAGGCCTCACTTCCGGGCACTCAGCCGGCTGGCTTCTCCCTGCACAGGAGTCGCCCCAGACTAGCCCATCCAACTGACCACACTTGAACTTGACAAGCCCTGTAAAGACCTTGTCTCCGAATAGTGACTTTCGGAGGTCCCAGGGCTAGGACTTCCACACAGGAATTTCGAGGGAACATAATTCAAGCCCTAACAGCGGCCTTAATGGTGGGGGGCAGAAGCCAGGTGAGAGGGTTGAGGGCTGGAGTGTGGGAATCTTTTGGGACCAGTGGCAGAGGGAGGAAGGCTGGTTAAGACCGTGACGCGGGCGGGGTGGGGGGAAGCAGGCCGAATGCTGGAGCGCTGCCTGAGGGCTCACACGTGTGAACGCTCGGGCATGCGCACACACACACACACACACAACTGTACCTCGGAGCCCTTGCTGTTTCCGGCTTGCTAGTGCTTCCACTCTCCCTGGACAGGGCTGTTCGTGTTCACAGCTTGGTGTATTTATTTGCTTAGTCAGGCCAGGGGGAGTGCATGGGGCTGTGGCTGCGACGGGGCGGGGCGATAACCCCCCTTTCCTCCGTTCCTGTGCTCAGAATCAAGTGAGTACCATTCCCTGGGACCGAAGGAGCACACGGTCCCAGCTCCTTGATAAGGCTGACTGGAGAATGTTGCTTACCACGTTTCTTTGAATCTAAGATGCCGTTGAGTGTGAGATGCACCATGAAAAAAACATCACAGCCAGTTCAACGGTGTCATGCCATCTGGTCGGGAGATGCATCCCAATTTCCGAGACGTTAACATGTATGAAATGTACATCTTCGATAAATGAGTTGTGCTGTAGTGGGATCGAAGTGCCTTTCCCTGCATTAGTCCCGCTGGGTCCCAGGCGGATCCAGGACGCGGCAAACTTGCCCTGCCCCGGCAGCTCTGCGGGGACCCAGCGTCCTGTAGGGTGGGGAGCAGACCAGCAGGCACCCTGCTCTGAGCAGGCGCACCTGTGGGATAAGCCAGGGAGCGCCAATTCAAGCAGGTTATCCCGTTCAGTGAGCCACTTCTTCCCCAGCGGGCCGGAGGGAGTCAGTTGGGGCCGTCCGAGATGTGGCTCTGTGGAGAGTGGCCTCAGTGGAGGCAGAGGCGGAGGAATGGGGGACCCCCACCAACATTTCACACTGCCCGCACACAGTAAGTGCTCACTAAAAGTACGATTAGCAAGCTGTAAGGCAGTGGGTAGACGTGCAGTATGTGGTGGGGGGTTGGATGAACATTCCTGGCAGCAGGGCTGCTGACGCTGTGACCCGCTGTCTGGCCTTTCAGGGAACCCGGCTCCTAATCTGTAGCGCACGCTAGGAAGTTGGGACCTCACGGCCTCATGGGGGAGTCAGTTAAGTAAACAGCATGAAAGGTACAGCCATAGGGGTAAATCCTAGGTGTTGTGGGAGTTCAGTGACCTTCCGCCCGACCGAGTCCCTGGGGAGATGCAGGAGGGCGCAGGGTGGGGCAGGGGGAACCGTGAGGTGTCTTCACTGCCCTTGCCAAGCATGACTGGGTTCTGGACTCAGCTCTTCCCGTTGCCCCCTTCACACTGCCCAGGACTCCAGTCAAACTGCTCACTGTAAGGAGCCCTCTCTTTCAATTCCTTGGTGCCCTTCACCATCTTGACTCAGGCTTCTGCCAGTATCTTGAAGGAACCTGGCCGGTTTCCTCAGGGTTCCTCCCTGGTGCCTACCAGCACCTTGCGGGCAGAGTATAGTTATCTCAAGTCTCGCTCCAAGCAATGTGCACTAAGACTGCTTGTGGACGTTGAGGAGAAAAACTAGAAAACCAAAATGAGATGTTTTCCCATTGCAAGTACCTCCCACCCCCTCCCGGACAGGCTGCATTTTGCCCCTTCCCCTCCCTTGACAGTCTGCTGGGGCGTGGGGAAGAGAGCTGAGACACTGGACCTTTGAGTCCCATTTTAAGGGGTGTAGCCGTGGACAGTGTCCTCCACCTCCACCCTGATGGCCCTTAGCCCTTGGTGGCATGGGGTCCTGAGAGTTAACAGCTGGGGAGCTGGGCTTTCCCCAGGATCTTGGTGCCAAGGGCATCTTCTGGCCTCCACCGTCTGCATCATCTGTGGATCGGAAGATGCCTACTATAGAGACCAAGATCAACTAAGGGAAAGACGATGGCAGAGTGTAGAAGGCAGGTGCAGATTACAGCAGAGGGAGGGAGGGAGGGGAGGATCTTGTGTAACCAGGGAGGTGATGCAGGTGGGGGAATGGGGGCTGGGGGGAAATGTCTCATCCTGTGATGGGGGAGGCACCCGAGCCAAAGCAAATTGGATTCCAGACTCCCCTGGAGCGCAGAGCCCAATGTGACCCCAGTTCTTATCACGATCTCTTCTAACGTCTCCAATGCCTCCCATTTCTGAAGCCTCAGGGATGATCTGCTAGTAAAACCTTCAGCACGTGTGTCATGTTGTATTTTAGGTGTGGGTCAACAGCTGTCAGTGTGTGAAATTAGAAAGGAAAACACTTCCCAGAGCTTGTGCACACGTGGGCACGGAGAGTTTTCCATCACACGCAAACTCATTGGTGGGAATGGGGATCGCAGTTCCTTTGAGCTACAAAGTGTGGTATGACGCCATGAATGAGCAACACTTAGGTGAGGTCCTACCATTCACACCCCGAGAACTAGCTCTTCGTAAGAATAATTTAACCTCTTTGTAAGGCCGTACATTTGGAATTCTTTCCACGGGAAGCCCCAGGTAGGGCTTCTGGAAATATCAGGAAGCCTGCAGGGCAAAGAATGAACCCGGTATTTACCAAAACTCTAGGGCTCTTGGTGGCTGCCTCAGGTGCCCTAGTGAAGGGGAGGACTCGGTGCCCCATGCTCCCCTCAACCCAGAGCAACTCTGCTTTTCTTCTAAATACTTCATCTACACAGTAGAGGGTACAAAATAAATTGCCTTCTGGGGTGAGGCATGTAACAAAGGGAAGTGATCTAGCAGGGGTTATTTTGAATGGGGAGAGGATTCTCTAAGGAAAGCAGCTCTCAGCTCCAGCTGGCTGTGTTACCAGATCTTATTTTTTGGAGGCTAGCAATCATTTTTGCGAAATCTCACAATTTTAAAATTGTAACTAATTTGAAAAAACAAAATCCAGTGAATGTGTATGTTTGGTTTGTGTGCTGGCAGTAGAATTTAAATTTTCTTTGCGATATCCCAACCCTGTGATAGTTCAGCCCATGCTTTCAGTCCTGGGATGGGGAACTCATTACCCTCCACGTTCACCCCTTATATGGGACGAAAGACTCTCGATTTTCATCACATGACTAGCATCTATTAGGCACCTGCTACATACTACACACTACACATGGCCTATACCTGGGTTCATTTAGGCGGTGGTGCTAGTGGGATAAAATAGGGTGAGGATGTCTCTGGGTCAAGCAGTTTGGGTCCTAAGTGTTTCCTTGATGCCAGGCCTGACACCACACCAGAGGATGAAGGAAAGGGGAGAAGCCTCAGGTTTGGTGACAAAGTCCCTTGAAATGAGTAACCTTTATTTCAGAGTTGCCACTGACCACGGGACCCCTCCCCATCCATCAGTGTCAGTGCCAGATGAAAGGCTAGATAAGGACCCATTCTGCTCTTCTGCCGTCAGGTCCCTGTGGATCATTTTCAGTGCAGAGAGAATTTTGGGCAGGCAGGTCTGCCAGAGCTCTGGAACTCTGGAAGTGAGAAGCACGAAAACTGTATTGTCTGTGCTCCTGCTTTGCTCCTGACCAACAAGCCTTGACTCAGTGGGTGAACTACGCAGAGCCTAGATTGTGTCCTCCCATGTGTCAATTTCTTGTGAACAAAGGTGTCGAGGGAAACCTACTTGGGATAGGTTACCTATGGCCTGCAGGTTGGGGTGAGGAGCCCCTTCTTCAGGTATCAGAGAGATTCTGCTACGGGAGAGGTTTCTGTATCTTCTGAGGGAAGCAGCTGCTCAGAGCCCCCCACTCCGACAGCTTCAGCTCCCAGACGGCCTCTAGTCCAGGTAGCGCAGCTTGGAGAGGACAGATAGGCTGAATATTGATTAAAAACAAACCAACCCACAATTTATTGAAAACGGGTACCTTTCAGTAGCCCTAATTACAACAGCTTAAAAGATGCCATTAATCAGGAACACAATATGCACAAAAGTCTCAGGAAAGGGAGAATAAAACAACTTGAAAGGAATACAACTGCAACAGGACTGGATTGCTAGGAAGGGTCACAGAGCAAAGTGACATGGAGTAGAACACAGAGCCACACAGGAGGACACGGGGCCCTCGAGCATGGGGCGGGAACTCCTGAGTTTCTGTACTTTTGGACCACATCTCATGATTCGTCGGGGTGGAGGTGCAGGCTGGAGCACAGGGACCATGGGGCGGACTCTGAGTAACTAGCCGATGCCCGGAGCACAGGCCAAACACGTGGAATGAGGCCACCAGGCAATTCACACCTGCCCCCCAGTGAGCCCCGTAAGAGGAAGTGCTCTCTGTGAAGTCTGTGGACCTGGCAGGGACCACTGGACCACGGAGAGCTTAGAGATCGTTTCTCTGCAGCTGGTCTCGTAAAACCCTAGACTAAACTAGCCCTAGAATTCTCTTATCCAAATTCCTACCATCTAGAGAGGTAGAGGTGCCAGACGTGGAAGCTGCCTCCAAACCAGTTTTTGGTCTTCGGTAAAGGGATAAATACAAACCCCGGTTCCACAGTCAGCTTGGAAAAAACTACTGCGCACAGCGGGTGTAAGATCCTGAAGCCTCACTGAGTATCCACCACCGCAGAAAGCAGGGCTGGGGCTGGGCTGAGATGGGCTCTGCTGTGTCTACTGCTGGGACACGTCCCATTCTGCTGTCCTGTCCCCATTTGCACGGTTCCTCCCAGCTTTCTGGGTCTGTCCTCCCATGGCCCAGAGCTCTCACTGCTTTGAGCCTAAAACTCCCAGCCTCAAGCAACACAGAGCAGAAATGCCGGATGCAGAGGGTTCTCTGAGGAGGGGGAGCAGGTGGTTTTCCTGGGAACCTGAGGTTCTCTCCCGCCACCTCCACCGAAGTAACGGCAGGACGGAGAGGAGGCTGGGTTACAGGAGGCAGACGGCAGCAGCTCTAAGAGCAGGAAGGAGAATTCTGCCAGGAGAGTGACAGGAGGTTTCGACTGCATGGATGCAGCAGGAAGTCGGGTTGGGAGGCGTGAACAGCAAAGCTTAATCTAACCGATGGGGGAGCAGTGTGTCTCCCCGCTTCCGGAATTCTCCCAGAGGAACACCACTCCCTGCTCTGGAACTTCACACTCAAACAGCCTGAAGGGAAGAAGTCTCTTCAGGGTCCCGGAAGTGCCCGCAGAAAGTCCATCCCGTCAAGCTCGGTTTCTTGGGACAGCAGCCTCATTTGTGAGTCCGTATGCTGCTGCAGATCTGGGCAAGGCGGCTCTACAAAGGAATGGGGCAGGTCACTGAGAGAAAAGGCCACTGACCACACGTGCCTGGTAGCCACTTGACAGTCACGTCGGGGGACCCCGGATTTGGGGTGGGCAGGACTGAGTGGATCTCAGCCCTCCGCACTCTAGCTGGATCACAAACTAAGTAACTGTTCTGAATGCCCACTCCTCATCTGAACGCGGGAGTAAAACAAGACCTCAGATGAGCCAGTCGTGCTATGGGTGCAGACGAGAGGATGAACGTCACTGGATCTGGGCGGTTAGGTATGTGTGGGCCCTTGACACCGGGCCGTGTGCCCTGGATGTACCCTTCACAGACCCCCCCCAGAAGGGGGGGTCCCATCCACCGCCCGAGACGGTGCTGACTGGACCACGGAGACCCATCTGACCAAAGCTGAATCAATTTACTTTTCCTTCTGAGAACTGAAGGGGCGACAAGAAGGGGACAGTCAGTGCTGGGCATCAGAGCAGCGAAGTCAGAGTTGGGAGTGCGGCTGCCGGAAGTCACAAGCAAGCCAGTATTGAAGGAGAAGGAGTGGGGACCCAGAGCACCCTGGAGGAGGCTCTCTGACGAGAGGGAGGGATGGAGGAGCGTTGGAGAAGCGCATGCGTGGGCTTCAGACAGAGAGGCTACGGGAGCACCAGAATGGAGCTCCACACACTGTCACTGACGGTCCCCCGGCTCCAGAGGGCCTGGCTGTTCCACCGGTCTCTGATTCTGCGGGACTCCTCGGAACAAGCCCCTCCCTCCCTCCAGGAAGCTTCCTTCCCTGGCAGTCAACCACGCCCTTGCATTCGGCACCAACTGCCCCAACTGAGGCAGAAGTCTGAGTCTACCGTGGAAATTCTGTGGCAGCAGCCCGGGAGAGACTGAAAGGCAGCATCAGTCCAGGGACGGAAGTGCTGCGGGGTAAAAACAGCTACAGTCCCTTGGGGGAAGAAGACAGCACAATGCTAAGTGTGAAGCCCAGGCAGAAAGACAATCCTAAGTACAGCTGAACTGAGCAAGCAGAGGGTTACGAGACTCACAGAGAGTTTCTTGATGTTTCCCAAGGCCTCGGGGTCCAGCTGTGCGATGTCCATCCTCTGCAAGTCACTAGCCAGCAATCGCATGCTCTGTGTGGACAGCGGGGTGCGCTCAGTTGCCATGTCCCCCGGGGCAGGACCCTGCACTCAAGGGCCCACTGTGCCCCAGGGGTCCCTTTGATATCCTGCACTTTGGGCAGGGGGAGCGGGGGCAGTCAAGGCAGTTAGGAGAGGTGCTTGCCCTGAGGAGATAACAACAGCAGTGTTTCTCACTGGCCTGTGGGGACTAAGGGCAGAGACATGAGCTTAGAAGTGCCCTGCAGACACAACTGAGACACACCTTCCCTCCCTCCTGGGAGCTGACGTCTGCAACTAGTTCCACTCAGCTCGGGGCAACTGGGCTCAGCCCGAGTCAGAACCCCTCTGGCTTTTCCAGAGTGGGAGACACAGTTCACGCTCCCCTTTCTAGAGCACATACCCTGATGCTGCCTTCCTATGCACTCCCTTTAGGGTGTCCCTTACTGTCCATGTCACGTGCCACTAGACTTGACTGTGAACCTATCTTGGCTACTGAACGCATTCTCAAGAGCAGGAAGCACGTCGTCTACACCTGCGGGGAGCCACAATGCAGGTGGGCAAATGTCAGCTGATGAACAAACGGAACACGGAGCCGGGCAAGGAGCCCAGCCTGGGCGAGAAAACTGGTTCTGAGTCCTGCGGAAGTGTGCGCATCAGGACCCATGCAACCCAAAGGACTGTGGGGATGAGAAGTGGGTGATGGGCCAAGGAAAGAAATGCCCAGGGAGTTGCGCGTGGTGGCCCGGCCGCCCTGTGAGACGCTCACCTCTCCACCGCCCACCGGCACCGTGAGGAAAACCTCTCTGCTGTCAGCAAGAGGGCTGCCATTCACAGAGACGTTGTAGATCCGCTCTCTGGCTGCTGGGGTCCGCAGGCCCGGGGTCTTGAAGACCCTGTGAAGTGGGAAGATCTCTGTCAAGATGGCTTGGCAGAGTGAGTGACACAAGGCGCCATGAGCTCTTCCAACCCCCATCTGGCCTCAAGCTGTAGTTTTCAAATCCTGCATTTCTAAGAAGGCGAGTTCTAAATTTAGGGCAAAAAGTCTTTTTAAACAGTAATGACTACACACAGCTGGAGAAGGGAGCTTGTAATGATCAAACACGCATGTAGCCAAAGTCAGTTCTTATCCATGGAAATCTTAGGTTCCAAGCTCTGCATGGACACCAGTCATCCATCCATCCACAGAGCCAGAAATAAACTACGGTTAATGCACTTCCAAGAGTGGCTAAGTGCTTCCAGCAAGAGGAATTTTCCAGGGTCAAAAAAGGAGGATTCAGAGCTTACATCATTATATTAATTCCCAAATAAACTTTCTCAGACAGTTAAAATCCTGCTACCTGTTTTTCTCTAAATGTCCTTTGCTTTACGTGCATATGAAAAAAACAGTTCAAGACTGGGAATTAAAAGAAGTCTTTCTCCCTCCCTCTCCTCACCCCAGAGATTCTGACTTTCAAATCCTTAATGCCTTCCAGAAACATCCTCTGTATAAACACAAATGGGATCACTTAGGACACGCTGTCATGCAGCGTGCTGGGAGGTGCCCGTGGCCACGACGCTGCTCCATCAGCACATAGAATCGCCTCTTTCTGGCCCCAGAGCATCTCCTGTCCAGTTGACCAGTTGGTGGAAGAGATTAGCTTCCAGCCTGGGTCACGTCAGTCTCCCTAGCGTGATGTGGTGTCCATCCGCACTCTCACCAAGGATACAGGAGAGTACCTACCCATTTCAAAAAAGGCTGAGCAAGAGTCCCTAGAGGCCTCCTAGTCCTCAGAGGCAGAATGTTCTCTGCCTCTCATCAAATAAAGACTTATGCTGTTGCTGAAAACAGGTGAACCTGCACTTTGGGGAGAGGCAGACGCTCAGAAGCCCAGATAGCTACCCTCTTCCAAGAGGCCTTGCGGGGCCAAGGAGCCATGTTTTCCCACTAGCTCTTCTTATGGACTGAGGCGAACGGTGGGCTCCCATCAGATGCAGGGGCCGCCCCCATTACTCACCTCGAGTCAAACCTGGGGGTCAGGCCTGGGGTTGGCTTCACCATAGACAACTCCAGCCGGCCCACAGCTGGGGTGACAGTGTTATAATGGCTTGACCTGTGGGTAAGAAGTGGCCATTAGGGGCGCCTGGGTGGCTCAGGAGGTTAAAGCCTCTGCCTGCAGCTCAGGTCATGGTCTCAGGGTCCTGGGATAGAGCCCCACATGGGGCTCTCTACTCAGCAGGGAGCCTGCTTCCCCCCCTCTCTCTGCCTACTTGTGATCTCTGTCAAATAAATAAATAAAATCTTAAAAAAAAAAAGTGGCCAATACGTCCATAGGTCACACGTGGAGGGCGCTGACCATGCGGCTATGTCCCGAGCGCCTCGCATACGCCAGCTCGTGCAGCCCTCCCAACGACCTGAGACACACAGCTGTGATCCTCGTTTTCAGCCACAGAAACTCGAGCATACCGACTCCAGCAACTTGGCCAAGATCACAGAGCCAATGAAGGGGGGAAGCCAGAGCTCTGAAGCTGGGCAGAAAGCCTCCAGAGTCTGGCCTCTGAGTCAGGCTGACGGAACAGGAGGAAGGAGACACCTTCTCCACAGCCCGAGGGCCCCTTAGCGGGAGCTCCTGCCCTCTTGCTAGGCAGCCACCATTGCTCAGGGAGTGTCCTTCACAGACACACATCCCAGCCACTACTTTCTAAGCTTCTTGAGATGTGGCCCCCCCGTTCCCCATCCTAAATGGTTTAGCAGGGCCCAGTATAATCAGTTCAAGTCCATTCTTTACTGATTAGGAAACAGGTGGACCATCTCAAGGAACAACAGTAGGTAGGTAAGTCACTCTGTGACTGGCCCCAGGGTGGGGGGGGGGGCTCTGCACGTGGGCTGTCAGGCAAATGCACAAAATATACAGTCCTTATGATAGGTTTCCAGTCCTCACTCTCCCTGGTGTGATTAAAACAAACAAAAAAGGTAGGGGAGGATAGAGAACATGGGCAGAACTGGAGAACACGTTGGGTCAGATCATTTCTAGAGGCCCCTCGAGCTTGGAGATTCAAGTTCTATTCAAGCACAGGCCACAAAAACCCTTGCACCCCGTCTCTGCCGTGATGGATGGGGCTCTCCAATAAAACCAAAACACACACGGACATTTAGAAAAGCCGTCACCTTTTGCTTTTGCCTCTTCCTTGTATGGACTGGGTTCTCTTCTTGGATGGAGGACACCTTTTGACCTGGATTCACAATCAAATGACACTATGGTTATAAGAAGCCCCAAAAAGGGGAAAGCGAAAGCAGGTAAGAAAAGGAGGGGTGGGGGTCAAGTCTGGAAATGTGAATTGATGAACATGAGCTCTATCTCCCGGAAGTGAGTGCCGTAAGTAATACAGAACATGGTGGGTGAACTAAGGACGTCCACCGCTTAGGTCTTCAAAGTGGACAGTTTTGGTCAAGATTAAAGGTAAATCTCTTAAACTGACTGTAGCCTGGCCAGCCCCCATCACTCCCCCATGCAATGCTTCTGTGAAGGTCACTCAGGCCATCCTGGGGTGCCCAATCTTCCCCGCTGCTCTGGCTGTTCCTGCACAGGCTGCTGCCTAAGCTCCTCTTTCCAGCTTCCCTCTAGGCACCTGTCCTCATGCCTTCCCCATACGACCCCATACGACCTCATCGATGCCCACGCTAGGAGTCAGTGTGCCTCTCAACCTCCTACTTTTCCCTGAACTTCAGGCTGAAATTTCAGAAAAGGATGGACCCTTCAACGTGTCAGGTAATTGGCACCCCGGCTGCTCGCCTTCACCAGAACCCAGCACCCTCCTGTGGGCCGCCTTCCATGGATGAGGGGCACCTAGGCTAGAAACCGATCAGGTATCGCTGCTTCCTCCCTTCCTCCACTGGTCCTGCTCACATTTGTCAAAACTATCCCTTCTGGGGCACCTGGGTGGCTCCGTGGGTTAAAGCCTCTGCCTTCGGCTCAGGTCATGATCCCAGGGTCCTGGAATCGAGCTCCGCATTGGGCTCTCTGCTCAGCAGGGAGCCTGCTTCCCTTCCTCTCTCTCTGCCTACTGTGATCTCTGTCAAATAAATAAATAAAAATCTTTAAAAAAAAAAATCCCTTCTCTGTGTATAGCATGAGGGCCTCAGTTTAAGAATTACAACAACCTCCCAACTGGTTTCCCTGTCTCCGGTTTTTCCCCCTCGTCGATTTGTCACTCAGTGTGACCAACCTGATGAAATGCAAACTTCTGAGCTCGGCACACAAGGCCATTCATCTTCAGGCCCTCCTGTAGGCAGACCACCCATAGCTTATAGCCCTGTCATCCCCAATGGCTTCCTGTTCTTTAAATGGAACTTGAGGGAACGTTCCTATCTATCTCCTCCTGGGCTTCCCTGCCCTTTCTTCTTCAGCTAGTGAAATCCCCCTCACTTTTAAAAGCATGGGTGTACCCTAAGCAGGGAGGTAAAATTTGATAGCTTCCTCTTCTGCCTTCTATGTGCTGTGTACCCACTTCTCTGAGGGCTTTCATATGAGCCATTAAAGTGGTTATTCTCTGCGAAACAGTGAACGCTGGTGGGTCAGGGTGGGGCACAGGGATGTTAGGTATTTTTGTGTTTCCCTGTCCCCTGTCAGCTCCCAGCCCCAAACACAAGTGCCTATTTACTCTTGAAGTTTGAAGATTCTTTTTCTTATTTTCTTCTTCTTCTTCTTCCACTATCATTTCATCCAATTTCATTATCTTTCGTGCTGTAAGAAACAGTTTTAACAGAGTCATCTTTCTCATAGGAGTAAATTTTCATGCATTCATGTTTCTTGGAGGAAATAAAACGTATGAGATCTTTGGCTGTAATCAAGAAATAGACTTTGAATATAAACAAGATGACTTTTTTTTTTTTTTTTAAAGAGGGTTTAGACAGAGAAAACTAACCAGACTGATTAACGAAGCCCACATGATACCCAGCATTCTGCTGAGAGTGCAGACGCTGGACTCAGCTAGACTTGAGCGTGAGGCCCGGTCCTAGCACCGCCCAGGTCATGGGGCTTTCACTGCACTGCCTCAGTGTCCTCATCTATAAAAGGGAGTAGTCACTTCACAGGGACAGTGAGACCTGGAATGCGCTCTGCAAGAACAGCATCTTTGCTATTTTTGTTTCTATTTCCTCAAACCCTAGAATTGTGCCTGTGAGTGTTTAAGTGTCTGTGGAATGCATGAACATAGAGCACCCCCCCTTTTTTAAAAGATTTTATTTATTTGAGAGAGAGAGAGAGAGCATGAGAGGAAAGAGGTCAGAAGGAGAAGCAGACTCCCTATAGAGCGGGGAGCCTGATGTGGGACTCGATCCTGGGACTCCAGGATCTTGACCTGAGCCGGAGGCAGTCACTTAACCAACTGAGCCACCCAGGAGCCCACATAAAGCCCTTTTGACAGTACAGGACACGTGTCATAAGAATTATTTATGGGGCACCTGGGCGGGTTAAGCCTCTGTCTCCAGCTCAGGTCATGATCTCAGGGTCCTGGGATCAAGCCCCTCATTGGGCTGTCTGCTTGGCAGGGAGCCTGCTTCCCGCCCCTATCTGCCTGCCGCTCTACCTACTTGTGATCTCTCTCTCTCTGTCAAATAAATAAAATCTTAAAAAAAAAAAATTATTATTTATTACAATATTATTATTTATATAGATTAGAAAACTTTCTAAGCACCATAGCTGTTTAGTGATGGAAGTTAGTGTCTCATGCTAGCTCTGTATAAACCCGAGCCAGACAATCTTGAGCAGGGATTCCAGAGATAATTCAGGCATCTGATCATGGGGGTAGGGTCTCAGACGGGACAGCTTTTTAGCTTTTTACTTTCTGACACATTAAATAATATATTTATCTTTTTTTTTTCCTTTTTGGAACTAGCTTATAATGTAGACAAAGCCCAATGGTCAAGAGGGCACAAAACCAAGTTTTACTGTTGGTTGACTTGGATCCTGGTGTGTCTGTTCCCACAGGTGAGATCAGAAGACCCCCTCCCCCACCACTTGAGCAAAATTGTGGAATCCAGAAGAGAAATCAGTATTCCCCAAATGTGGAGACAACCCAAAGTGAACTAACACACTATAAATATGCGGCCAAGGATCTCCAGGAACACCTGAGCCCAATTCTGTCGTAATCTCACCAAGGCAGCACTGGAGTGTGACACCAGCAAAGTGAAAACTCCTGCTCTCTTCGTGCTACAAGGTCATTCGACGGAAAGCAAAATGGACTAAGAACTGGGCCGTGTTTCTGGCCCACCCCAGTGGAGAAGTGCCCTGGTCAAGATCCAGGCCCTGGGTCAGGCCTCACCTCATAAGATGTGGATGCACTGAGCTATGAAAGCTTAATGACAGTGACACAAAGTCTGTAGTAGGGCTCATCCTGTCCCTGCTCCATGATTCTCACAGGTCACGACCCGGTTTCCCAAACATGTTCCCTTTGGGACAGCATTTCTCTGAGCGTGGGGTATGAGGGAGGGATGATTTTCCGCAGCAGATCACTGAGTCCAAGAACGTGGGATGGCGCCCGGAGGATACTGGTCCTTTCACAATTCTCTCTCAGCGTTTCTGATCACACAGGGGTGCCTTGGCGGGCCTCACCATGTCCCGTAACGCCCCTCAGTCCTGCCACCCTCTAACTGGCGGAGCCAGGGGCAGTCATGCTTCCCACACAGCTTCCCCTCTCCTTCCACTCTCACTCTTGCCCCCACAATGGCCGGCAGTTTGCTCACTATCAGTCCTGCATATGATGAACTCAATGCAGCGGCCAAAACCACATTATCGGATTTGCAAGACCGAGGACCAGGCATTAGAGGGAAGAGTCCCTACCACTGAGGCCTCTCTGAGCTGCCGGCCTGCCACCTGGCCTCCACTCTCCCAGTTCAACAAGGGGTTTTGAAAAGTACTCACTTTTGGCAGATTTCAAGGGTGTCTGAATAGCTTCTGCTGTTAGTCGGTTTATTTCTGTGATATCCAGGTCCGCCTGTTGCCAACACAGCCAGAAAACACCAGGCATATTCCATCAAATATGGGGAATATTTTAAGACTCAAAACAATTAATTTCAAAAACATATTATTTATTACTTATAAGACTGTTACGTATTAGTTATAACATGATTTTAGTGAGCTCCTATAAATGCACTATACAACCCAAGATCTAAAACATTGCTGATTACTTGCTTCTAGCTCTGTAGTCTTTCCTGTTCTATTTCCTTGTCTTCTCCCAAAGGTGACCACTATCATTGCATCTGCTTAAAGGAAAGCATGTTTGTGTGGTTTTTTTTTTTTGTTTGTTTGTTTTTTTAACAAAGGTATATGTGGTTAAATAATATTTTATTTGGTTTCGCTTCTGCCGCTTCTGGCGTAGTTTGTTTTCACTGTCATGTAGCATCCCACCGTGTGACTCTTTCATAATTAATTTCTCCAATCTCCTGTCAACAGTCTTTTGCTACTCTAAACAACTTCTTCATGTGTCTGATGCACATGTCCAAGTTTCCTCTTGGCTGTACACTCAGGGAAAGTGGTTGCATTTGATTATGTCCCGTTGGCAAACAATACAGGTTGCTAATGACTCACGTTCTCTGCACTTGGTGTTGTACTAGACTTTTCTCCTTTTTAACGTCTAGAGAGTCAATAAGGTTTTCTGTTGCACCCACAGGCCCTTCAAAAAGGCTTCTAGTCATCACCATTCTAATTAAATGTGCTCCCATTGGCGACTACCTCCGTGAATGAGAAGAGCTACGAGCAGGCATGCTTCTCTGCCTTTTCTGGCAGGACACATGTAAGTATCAGAGGAGGTGTTACAGACTAGGGATGACAGGTTTCATCTCCAGACTGGTAGGGAGTCCGGGGAGTGCTCGAAGGAGCATTCTGAGGCTGTCCAGTCTCAGCAAGAGACAGCGCTATAGGAGCTTACTAAGGTCTGGAGTGGTCGATGGAGTGGACAGTGGCCAACTAGGTGCCGTCTCTAGAAACAACTTGCGCGTTATGAAGGTGTCAGTGGTGGCAGGCCGCTGATTATCTTTGTGTAGAAGAGTTAACAGGCCTAAGACTGATATCCATAGAGAGGCCTATTTGCATGCATGGGCTTGCGGCTTGCGTGAGAACTCGGATTTCAGGATTCCCACCATTCCCTGGTTAGAATGGCTGTCTGGGCCTAAGCTTTGTACAAACAACATGGCTTATGCTGCACACCTGTTTTCCTCCTGGAAGTCTGGAATTTTGGTACAAGCTAGGCAGACGATGCCTATGTGACAAGCCCCCAGTGAAAATCCCGGGTATTGAGTGTCTAATAGGCTTTTCTGGTAGACACCGTTTCATGTGTGTTGAATTAAGGTGTCACATGTGACTCCACTGGGAGAGGACTCTTGGGAGCTTACACCTGGTTTCCTCTGAACTTTGGCCCAGGCACTTTTTCCCTTTGTTGATTTTGCTTTATATCCTTTCACGTAATAAATCACAGCCATGAGTAGGACTATATGCTCAGTTCTGTGAGTCTTCCTGGGAGTGGTCTTGGGAGACCCCCACATACCTAATCATTATGAACTTTTGTGCCAAAGTATCATTCCTTTCCTGAGTTCTAACGCATATTAGCTAAGGCTACAATTCTCTTGATTTGGTGTGATGACACCGGCTATTTCATATTACACTAGAAGCTCTCTGATTTGTAGTTCTGTATGTCTAATTAATTAAAATGAGGGTGATGCATTAGCTAACGAGTATAATTCATCTCAGAGGTAAGTCTTTTGAAACACCAGATCTGGGTGTGTGGAGGTGGGAACATGTTACAAAGAAAGAGAAAGCCAGAACTAAGAATGTTTTACTGGCTCTTGATTTTACTTTTCAGTGATCCCCACTCCACTCCTATAATATTCATCTCCAAACTCTTTTTCCTGACTGAACAACTGCTCTGAAACACCTTTAACTTCTGAGGCAGGTGGAGATCTGCCATTCAATGCTACCATGTACCCTGTGTAGTCAGGTCCCTTCAAACCCTGAGATTCCAAGAGATCCTAATAACGCAGAAAAGGAGGTAGATTTTTGGGTTCACTCTATAAACCTGATGAAGGTTATAATAAACATTCTCTCCAGAAAGATAACAAATGCATGTATGTATGCGCATTGTTTTTGTCTGATTTTAGAGTGCCTAGGGTCTCTGTGAAGACCATTATGGACTAGTTCCCAACACTGTATAACAAAACTTTCTGTAAGGGTAGAAATGCTCTATTTCTGGGCTACCAATATGTAGTCACTAGTCATGTGTGGCTAGTCAATATTTGAAATGTGACTAGTGTCTCTGAGAGACTGAAGTTTTAATTTAATTAATTTTAATGGACTAATGATTTATTTATTTAATTAATGATTAATTAATGATTGATTTAATTAATTCAAATTGATTGATTAATGGTGGCTATTGTATTGGACAGTACAGATCTAAAATGTGAACTCTTTATTTTGCTTCCCCATCTGACTGTCTTCAATCCTAACGCTGATGCTGGGATGAAAGAGGTGAGAGAGGGTGAGGAATCCTGAGAGTCCCAAATAAGAGCGAAGCTTCTAGAGGATGACGTGATAAAACAACAGTCTCAGGGCACCTGGGTGGTGCGGTTGGTTGAGAGTCCGACTCTTAATTTTGTCTCGGGCTGTGATCTTGGGGTGGTGAGTTCGAGCCCCATGTCTGGGTCTGCGCTCAATGTGGTGTCTGCTTGAGTTTTTCTAACCCTCTCCCCCTCCACCCTTCTCTCTCTCTCTCAAATAAATAAATCTTTATAATAAAATAAAAATAAAACAACAGTCTCTGACACCTGGCAGACCAGGCCGTCAGGTAATGACCCAGGGGCTTAGAGGGACTGGGCTTGAGGCTTTTGCTGTGCCTGAGAGGTCAGGGTGGAGAGCTACAAGGAACCTGCCTAAAATAGAATGCCTCCCTCCGTAGAACTTGATAGTATTTGGGCTTCACAGACTCAGCCTTTGACAACCACAGTTTTGCAGTTGGCCCAAACAGGTCATGTCCCCTAGGAGCCCTCTTCCATGGTAAACACCCACTGGTTGGATTTTGTGACGGGATTAAACTTAAAGACTAACCACAGTTCCAAAAGAGGACAGATCACTTACTGTTGCAGCCTCTTCCAGCGCCTGTTTGCTTCCTCCAAGGGCTTTAAAAAGAACATTTTATTTAGTTACTATCAGATCTTAATGATAAACCACCTTCCCATTAGCTGTCTAAAACTGGACTAGATTAAGCCCTGGCTTCAACACTCAAGGCCCTTTGTAACCTCTTTTTTCTCCGCACCTGACTGGCCGCCTTATAGCATATTCTAGGTCCCACCACACCAAAGTCCTTATTTCCCAGATGTGCCACCGTCTCCCGTGCCTCTGCCCCTCCTCGCTTATTATTATTCCCTTTACCAGAAATGCACCTCTGCACCCGGAAAATTTCTAATTCGTCTTTCGAAACTCAGTTCAAACCCAAAAGTCTTTATTTTTCTATGACAACAGGTTGCGGCAAAGTGCTGACCTAGTTGCTCAATTCTCATCATACCAAACAACTACTCAGAGCTGTTTAAGCATCCCCCCATCTGCTGCCTTGAACTAAACTCCTTGAAGACAGTTTTGGGCATAAATATGGCGTAGGGTAGTTATGCAGCCAGTGTGTGTTGAACAAAGAGGTCTGTGTAAGATTTAGATGTAGAATAAAGTTAAGTTAATACTCCTTCTAGAAACTCTCATAGTATCCTGTAGAACTGTTAAGAATTCACGCTTTGAACCAGACAGAGTGCTTGGGTTTAAACACCCTCTGCTACTCACTAGCTTATGAGACCCTGAGCAAAGTAACTAATCTCTCTGTGCCTTAATTCTGTCACCTGTAAAAGAGGAGCAATATTAACAATGAATACCTTTGTTGTGAACATAAAGTCAGTTAACACATGTAACACACTCAGTACAATACCTGTCTAGCACATATAAACGTACAGCACTAGATAAATGTACCTACTGTCCCCTTCTCTTTCCCTTTTATGGTACCTACGATTTTGACTATCTAATCACATGCGCATTTTTAAAACGACCCTCCTCTACTAACTTGTAAGTTCCTGAGGGCAGGCAATGTCTGTGTTATTTCCCAAAGCACTTTCAGCCCCTAGCACTGTGACTGAGACATCCTCAGTGAATATTTGTAGAAGCGTGCAAATAAAAGGGCAAGTCAAAGAATCATTAAATATCTATTATTTGAACTGAACATGCATTTCTATTCAGGAAGGAACTGATGTAATAGATAATAATTAGGAAAAGTAAGGGTAACCCAGCAGAAAGGAAAGCCTCTTGCATGTCCTTGGACTTTTAACAAGGGAATGGAGAACAGGTTGCAATTTTTCTCCAGCCAGAATAACTTGAGCCCTTGCATGTCACAATTTGATTTGCTCATTTTTTTTTTTTTAAATTGACAGGTTCCATAAGATGCAGAAACCACTGCTTGGGGGTTATCCTCCCATCTGAGCTCTGGTAACAAACCAAGTTATTCTTTTATTCGTCTTTAAATGATTGTATAATATAAAGAGAGTGTTTTGTGACACATGAAATTCACACAAAATTCACATATCCATGTGTCCATAAATACATATTCCTTGGACACATACATGCCCATTCATTACAGCTGTTTTGGACCTAGAACAGCTTGAGCTGAGTAGCTGCAACAGAGAACCCTCTGGCACAGAAAGCCTAAAATATTTACTAGACAGTAAATTCTCCTTCAGAGAAGACGTTCGCTTACCTGGGCGGGGTGTGTGTGTGTGTGTGTGTGTGTGTGTGTGTGTGTGTGTAGATGACGTTAAGTTCTATGCACAAAGGTAAAGCAGGGAAGAGAGATAAGGAGCGGGGGAAGCGGTAAGGCTGCAATTTCCTAAAGTGATCATGAGGACTTCACTCAGGCGACCACAGAGGCGCCCCGGAGCCAAGGCCTGCGGGGACGGCAGCAGCTCTTACCGAAGTAGTCTAGCCAGTTCATCTCGCGCAGCGCCTTGGGGAGCCGCAAGATCTCGATGTTGTACAGGTTATCCATCTCCTTGAGGAGGTTCTGCCTGTCCGACTGAATTTGCTTGGATCGTATTTGCACTGCGAGAGGGCAGAGCCGACAGAACACGGGTCACCGGCCGGTGAACGGGGCCTGGAACCCTGCTGCCCGCACCCCAAGCCACCGACACCCAGCGATCGCCCCGGGCTCCGCCCCTACCTTCGCGGTCGAAGTCCCGAAGAAAGGAAACGAGCTTCCGGCTCCGAACCGAGTTCGTCTTGGCCACCCGACTGCCGCCTTTCCTAGCCGGAGCCATGGCGCTTGGGTGGAGGCTGCGGGGAGCGGGGGATGCAGCCACTGGGAGGTCAGCGGCCGAGGTCGGGGAGGGAGAGTAAGGAGGCCGCGGAGGAGCGGGAAAGGGAGGACGGGCGCCCCACGGAGCTAGTGGGGGCGCCCTGCCTTTGAAGGCCCGAGCATAAAGGTGTCGCGAGGCACGTACCTGCGGGTCACCAAACGGGTCGAGAAAGATCTCACCGCTCCAGCTGAGGGGAGGGAGCAGCTTCGTGCCTAACCGGACGTGCGGCCGCCGCCACCAAATTCAAACTGCCACAGGCTGACGAATGAGAAGTCGCCGTCTTAGGAGGGTCCCACAGCATCCAATCACAAGGAAGCTCCGCGGCCTGGCCGCCGATGCACACGTAGGACTACAAGACCCAGAAGGCACTGCGGTCTACGACATACGTTCGCGACTCGACAGCCGTTCTGGGGTCATGCGCAGAGAGCCCGCGGGCTCCTGGTGGCGGCCTTGATGGGTCCTCGGACTTTGATGGCATTATCTTTAAGTTTTCCTGCTGGTTTAGGGAAAGCGACCGGCAGTTTCCAGGAAAGGAGACAAGAGTCTGGCTCTGGAAGTACGGGTTCGGAGACAGCGCTTCGGCCCGGGGAATCCGCAGTCTGAAACCGGAGACTACCCGAGCCGCGGGCGAACCCCCTCCGAGGTCTGATCAGGCAACCCTTCAGGAGGTGGGAAACCGAGGCCCTGCCTCCGGAGCCCACCTAAAGGTAAGACAGTGCCTCGCGTCAGGACGTCCTGTCGGAAGGGATACACAGCCCCCATCGTGAGGAGACCCTGGTTTAGCGGAACTTCACCTACGCGCGGTGATCACTGGACTCGCTACTTCCCCTGCCGAGTTAAGACCCTAATGCTTCCTCCCACCCCCCTTTCTGTTTTTATCTCGGCAGATGACTCAAGACCAACCTTGGCTTGCTCTGCAAGAGGCCCTGAGGAAGTGCTTTCCCGTGGTGGAGGAGCAGCAGGGCCTGTGGCAGAGCACCCTGGGGGACTGCCAGCCCCTCCTGGCCTCCCTCAGCAACCTGGCGGAGCAGCTGCAGGCGGCACAGAATCTGCGGTTTGAGGATGTGCCTCCACTTCGGGCCTTCCCGGACTTAAAGGAACGGCTGAGGCGCAAGCAGCTGGCGGCTGGCGACACTGTCTTGGACAAGTTAGGGGAGAAGCTGTAAGAGTTCAATGCCGCTCCTTCTTGGCGGAAAGATTGAAAAACTTGGTGTTTAATAAGTAGCTAGGATCCCTCAGAAGTGTTTTTCCCTTTACTTGAGAACACGGTATTTGGAGGTGTCTCAGCCTTGCCTCCTTTCCATTTGTTGCAATGGGACCTCTTATCAAAAAGTCATTTTAGGGGCGCCTGGGTGGCTCAGTGGGTTAAGCCTCTGCCTTCGGCTCAGGTCATGGTCTCAGGGTCCTGGGATCGAGCCCCACATCGGGCTCTCTGCTCAGCGGGGAGCCTGCTTCCCTTCCTCTCTCTCTCTGCCTACTTGTGATCTCTGTCTGTCAAATAACTAAATAAAATCTTAAAAAAAAAAAAAAAAGTCATTTTATGGGGTACCCGGATGGTGCAGTCAGCTGGGCTTCCACTTCTTGGTTTTGGCTCAGGTCGTGATCTCCCGAGGTGAGTTCAGTCCCCACACTGGGCTCTGCACCCAGTGCGGAGTCTGCTTGAGACTTTTTCTCTCTTAAATAAATAAATCTTTCTTTGAAAAAGTTCTTTTATGGCATTTCCCTTGTCATGTAAGGCATGACAGTGATGGTCTCAGTAGAAGTTACAGTGGAAAAGAAAAGCAATCGAAAAAGCGAATTAGTCCTTCTCTGTAGTCTTCTTTTGTCAAAAGCAGTGAGGAATTGTACTTTAAACTTAGTAGTGCTAGAGCTCAGGGTTTTATGTATATATTCTCACATAAAATATTTCCAACATCTCCGATTTAACCTTACTTAATCCCATTTTGCTGGTGAGGAAACTGAGGGTCAGATTGCCTATGGTCACACAGCTAGTAAATGGTAAAGCTGGAAGTCTAACTCAAGTTTGCCCAACGCCAAGGCCAGAGTGTTCAACCACCATTCTGTTCTGCTGTACGTTGGTGTCTCTGTGCCAGGCATAGTACGTCTCTAAACTCTTAGTATGCCTAAATGAGACCCTCTATTTTAAAATTATAAATATCGAGGATAGACAAGAGACCTGGCACATAGGCTTGCTCTTTCTTTCTTTCTTTCTTATTTATTTTAGAGAAAGAGCACCAGTGGGGAAGGGGCAGAGGAAGAGAGAGAATCTCAAGCAGATTCCCCACTGAGCACAGAGCCCCACTTGGGGCTCCATCTTATGACCCATGATATCATGACACGAGCCAAAATCACAGGTCAAATGCTTAACCGAGCCACCCAGACGCCCTGCACATAGGCCTTTCCTTGACCAGAACAAAAGAAGTTTCTGGTGTATATAGTCTGTGCTGTAGACTAAGGGGAAATGGTTGTATATGGGGACTTAGTATATTCATTTGTACAAAATAAGCACCTATGGGATGCCAGGCACAAGGTGCTGGGAATATAACGATGAACCAGACTTAGTTTCTTAGTTGATTAGAAGAGAGATGATTAGCATCAATTAAATTACGTTGCGGTATGCTCTGAGGTAGTGAACTCTTATTTCAGTTGATGACCTATTTGTGTGTGAGTATTGGGCATTATTTTGTCTAATTTTTTACCTGTGAGTCAAAGCCACACATTTTGAAAGCCACAATTATAGGTTAGGGAATGCTTTGCCCTTTGGGAAATTGTGGCCTTCTTGGTGGCTGGGTCCCTTGGAGTCACCAGTGGAATAATAACTATTGACCGTGAGTTAGGCACTTCCCAAAGCACCTTATGAGCATTATTGCATTTAATCTTCATAAGAACCCTTTCATTGATTCATTCATTGTATTTGTCATTCTATGTGCCAGTCTTGGTGTTTTAAGTACTTAGGGCATGCAGTGAGCAAAACAGATCATTTTTATACGTGACTGAGAATAAATAACTTTCCTAAGGTCCACAGTAGTTATGTGCCCCCAGAGCAGTTTTTCCCGTTGGGACATTTGGCAGTATCTGGAGACATTATTGATCGTCACAACTTGGGAAAGATGGGGGTGTGGCGTGCTCTTGTCATCTAGTGGGTAGAGGCCAAGGGTGCTACTCAGTGCCCTAAATGCACAGGGTAACCTCCCACCACAAAGAACCATCCAGGTTGACATGTGAGTGTGCTGAGGTTGAGGAACCCCGCCTTAGGCCTTTCTCATGATGTTGTCTAACAGGAGACTTTTTCCTTCAGAGCCACCCTCCTCAAGGTGCGGGACACCATCAGCAGGCGCGTGGAGCAGGTGTTTGAGATCTATGAGCAGCATGCAGACTCGATTGGCATTGATGCTGTCCTGCAGGCTTCGGTGCTGAGCCCGTCTGTGGCTGACATGTTGGAGTGGTTGCAGGATATCGAGAGACATTATCGACATTCGTATCCTTTGCACACATTTCAGTGTCCAGAGCTGCTTCAGGAAGTCTTTTTAATTTCAGTTTTCATGAGATTATACAACTGTATGGTAGGGGTCAGTTCTCCTTGGTCCCTGAGTGTAGAGAAAAATAAAGCAGGCCAAGTGGGGAGGGAGGGTGGAGTTGTGATTTTAAATAGGGTAGTCAGGAGAGGCCTCACAGATAGTGACATTTAAGAAAAGACCTAAAGGCGAGGGAGAGAATCAGGTGTTATTTGGGGGAAGTATGTCCCAGGTAGAAGAAACATCACATGCAAAGGCCCTGAGGTAGTAGCGTGCCTGATGTGTTCTGAAAATAGTGCAGATGCCGCTGGGCTAGACTAGAGTGAGGAGGGGGACCCTAATAGGAGACATGGTCAGAGAGACAGGGCCAGACTTTGTAGGGCTTTGGAGGTCTTTGAAAGGATTTGACTTCTGCTCTGAGTGAGATGGAAAGCTATTCAGAGGTTTTGAGAAGAGGAGTAACATAATCAGCCTGTGTTTTTCACAGAGCTGCAGCCAACAGTACTGAGCACTGCCTACATGCCATGATAGGTGCTGTTCTAAGAATGCCCACATAGCCACTTGTGAGGTGCTTTGATTCTGTTTCCTGGGTGCTTCTTGGATTTTCCTTCTCTATCTGCACTGCCTCTTCCATAGCTTCTCGCCTCTCATGTGGCCCATTGGTCTGTGCAGCATCTTGACGGGGTTCTCTCTCTGGCTTCTTTGCCTCTGAGCCAGCTCCAGCTAGTGACCTCACTACATCCTGAAGACATCTTCATTCTGCCTGTCACTTACATCGAGTTTTCAGCAGCTTCCATGGTTCACAGGCCAGAAACCCCACTTTGGTCTTCAGTGCTCTTCGTGTTCTGGTTCAACCTGCCTTCTCAGCCACCTTTCCTACTGCTCTACACACTGTTCCTGGCCGGCCAGATTGGAGGATTTCCTCAGCGCTGAAACCAATCCATGCTTCCCCACTTCTGTGCCTTTGCTTATGCTCTTCCTACCAGCCAGAATCTTCCTGCTGCTAAGTGGGAGGTATGCGTCCTCTGAACTGCCACACGGTGTCCTCTTTGATGTCACTGACATTCTCTCTTTTCAGTTCCTGGTTTTTCCCTCACCACAGTGAGATCCTAGGTGGTTGGGGCCATGTCTCATCCCTCCGGCCCCAGAGCACTGTGAGTGAGGAGGTGCTCAGTAAAGATGGGTGGCATAGGTGAGTTCTGCCACCTGATAAATGGAATGATAGCCCCTCTTTCACTCTTTGAGCTTCCCATAGCTCTCCGCAGGGCATTTTCCCCCTTCAGCACATTTCATTTGCTTTTTTTTTTTTTTTTAAAGATTTTATTTATTTATTTGAGAGAGAGATCATGAGTGGGGGGAAGGGTAGAGGGAGAGGCAGACTCCCCACTGAGCAGGGAGCCTGATGTGGGACTCAGTACCAGGACCCCAGGATCATGATCTGAGTCAAAGGCAGATGCTTAACTGACTGAGTCACCCAGGCGCCCTCATTTGCTTTTCGAGCAGTCAGTCCTTAACTTCGAGGAAGTTACCTAAAGAGAAAGTACCTCCTGTCCTCGGTCCAGTGGGGAGACTTGGCAAATATCCAAGCTTTGCCCGAGGCCTGGAATCAAATTTCAGAAGATGAACACCAAAGCCTTGTACAAGGTACTGGTTTTCATTTACTCCATGTCTGCGTTCTGTGTGTCTCACTTCTTTAGAAGCATTACAGAGATGCCCTTGCAGTGCCCCTGTATTTTTTATAAATCGGGTGTTTTATGTTCTCTGGAGAGGTGATATGCCAGTTTTTCTCTCTTCCTATTCCAGATACCCTGTTGAATGTTTCCTTCTTCCTGGAAGAGTAAGGAAGCCACGTGTTTATCAGCAGACTAGGGGGACACAATTGAAGACCGACATTGGTGCTTTCTGGTATGGTAACCTGACATACTTGAAAAATCAGTGCCTAGAGCCTGAGGACTGCATTCTTATGCTGGGGCCTCTCCCTGTGACATCACGGCTGAGGACACATGGGCCACCCCTTGCCCTTTCGATGCTCGGCAGTGGAAGGAGGTAGAGAGAGAATGCAGAAAAGGTGGTGCAGGAGAACAACAGGGCAGGAGCCACTGTCACAGAAGTGGTAGGGAAGGAGAGGGCAGGGAAGGGAGTGTGGCACCACCCTCGGCACCATCCAAAGCTCTGAGCTTGATTGACACCCGGGCCTGTTCTGTGTATTTGTGTCCGTACCTGATTCCCTGATGGAAGATGATTATTCTTGATGATTTAAAGGAATAACGGTGATAATTGATGGAAGACAGTACCGATCTTCCTGGACTTACAGTGAGGTTATCCTGATAATCCCTTTGTAAATTGAAAATATTGTAAGTCAAAAATGCATTTAATACCCCTAACCTACCAAACATTAGCCTAGCCTACCTTAAATGTGCCCAGAACACTCACATTAGCTTACAGTTGGGCAAAATCATTTAACACAAGGGCTTTTCATTTTATTTATTTATTTGTCAGAGAGAGAGAGAGCACATAAGCAGGCAGAGCGGCAGGGAGAGGCAGAGAGAGAAGCAGACTCCCTGCTAAACAAGGAGCCCGCTGTGGGACTCATCCCTAGGGTCATGACCTGAGCAGAACGCAGCGGCTTAACCACCCACTGAGGCACCCAGGCGCCCCAGGGGCTTTTCATTTTACAATGAAATGTTCACTATCTCACGTAATTGACTGAAAACAGAACAGCTGTTCGGGCTTCAAATGGCTGTATCGGTCGTTTACCCTTATGATCTCTGGGCTGACTGAGCTGCGGCATGCGGTGTGCGCTGTTGGTGCCCAGCGTCCTGAGAGAGGGGCACACTGCCACCAGCCCAGGAAGAGATCCACATTCAGTATGTGACGTATGGTTTCTGGTGGACACGTATTGCTTTTTGCACTGTTGTAAGAGTTGAAAAATCCCAAGGCGAACCACCGGAAGTCCCAGCGGTGCATCCCTGTTTTCCAACTGCTGTGGCTCCGAACCCTCAAGTCGACTTCAGTTTCCAGAGCCCACCAGCAGGGGGAGGTGGTGCAACATGAATTATGCTCAGAGCTTTGTCTTTGAGGAGTTGCCCCTCTCTTCCCCACCCCCCTCGTCTGGGAGTAAGTGGCTGAGGAGAGACTGCTGAAATGACAGGGGTTTTAACCAAAGCTGGTGCCTGATTTGCCACATTCCTCTGATCTTGGAGTAGCTGCACGGTGGGAGAAGACCACCCAGAATCGGGGCATCAGGGTTATGTTTCTGAAGCCCAGTGCCTTCATCTGTGAAATGGTCGAGCACTTCCAGACCTGTCAGCTTCGGGGCTGTGGAAGAATCTGGGTCACTGGATGTAAAGAGGCTTAATAAAGAGTATAGATATTTTTAAAATGAAGATGACTTTTTTCTTACTACAAAAGTGATATTAATGCTTTTTAAAAAGTCATAGGAAAACTGTAGGAAAAATGTAACTGTAGAAAAGTATGAAACAAGCTACATCAGAGATATTTTGATATATACCCTTTCAGTGTCCATAATCGCACATTTTAAAAGACCCAAATATAGTATCTTTGACATATACTGTTACTTAAATAATCTTTTTTTTTTAACATAGTTTGGCCATCTTTTCATATCTGTAAAAATAGCTCAACGTAATTACAGTAGTTACCATTACACACATATACCGTTTTATGAACGTATTAGAGCTTTTATTTTTCCAGATTTTTATGCTTCTACCTGTCAAGATAATACATTGTGATTGTGAAAAACGAAAGGATTACAGAAAGTGGCAATGCACACTGTCTACTGTTTTTAGCAATATGATAGGTATTCTTCCAGGAATTTGAAAAAAATGTATCACATCCATAATAATTGTAAGTAAAACTTAAAAACATTTGGGTATCAGGCCTTATGATGTGCTCTGGGGCAGATGAAGGAGATCCCTAGAAAGGTTTATAGTTAACCAGGGAAAGATTTAAACCAGTGTCTCTTAAGTTTTAGTGTGTATGGAAATCACTGGGCTCTTGTTAAAATGTCGATTCTGATTCTGTAGGCCTGGGGTGGCAGCGCCCTAGATTCTATGTTTCTCACAAGACCTCGGGTACTGTTGATGCTGATGATCCCGGGACCAGACTGAGTTGAAGAGATTGAAATTGTAAAACAATAATGAAAGTATTTTCAGGGGTGGGTGGAGTAAAGGGTACAGACCCCTCACTTATAAGTTACAGGAGGGTAAAAAAAAATAATGAAAGTGTTATATTTTACATTAAACAAAAGAGAGGGGACACCTGGGTGGCTCAGTCGGTTAAGCAACTGCCTTCGGCTCAGGTCGTGATCCTGGGGTCCTGGGATCAAGTTGTGTATCCCACTTCTTGCTCAGGGGGAAGCCTTCTCCCTCTCCCTCTGCTGCTTCCCCTGCTTGTGTGCTCGCTTGCTCTCACTGTCTGATAAATAAATAAAATCTTTAAAAAAGAAGAAGAAGAAGAGAGGTGATAACTGCTTGTCAGAGTACTTCATAGTGACAGTGATATCTGAATTAGGACTTGGAGATGGGGAGGAGTGTAGGGCATTCCATGCTGAGGGGACAGTCTAATAAGCAAAGGCAGTGTTTGAGAAAGATTGGAATCCAGCATGGATCAAAAGTTTGCTGTGTACCAGGCACTGCGCTTATTTGCTTTTATCTCCTAAAACTGGCAAATATTAATAGTCCCACCAAGCAAGTCACTACTGTTCTTAAAAGGCTGGAGGAATGGCTCCCTAGGGTGGACTGGAGCCCAATTGTGAAAAGCCCGAAAGGCCTGGCTTGAGAGTGTGTATTTTGTTCTGCAAGTGGGAGGGGTGTGTGTGTGTGTGTGTGTGTGTGTGTGTGTGTGTGTTACAGAGCTCTTTAAATCCTGACCATAAATAGATACAAGGATTTACAGTGCTTCATAATAACTATGTATTACTTAAATATCACTGTTTCTATTTTGTTCATTATTTTTTTACTTTTAAAATGCTATCTTTTTAAATTGTCCTTTTAAAATTAAAATAGATTTATATTTTGAATAAGTGACACATTCACATTGTGCAAAATTCAAAAAGAGTACAAGAGCACATTCAGTGAAAAGTTCTCCTCTCCCAGTTACTCACTTTCCTTCCCTGGAGGCAACCAGCATGAAATGTTTCTGATGTATTCTTCCAAAAATATTCTTTGCTCATATCCACACAATGGTTGGTGTCCTCTAAGATAGCCCCCAAGGGTCCCACCTCCGGTATTCATGCCCTTGTGTACCCTCCTCTCCTTCAATGTGGGCTGGGCTTACAGATTTGCTTCTGTGAACAGAATATTGCGTAAGTAGTGTGGTGTTACTTCTGAAACTAACTGATAAAAAAGGACTGTAGCCTCCAGTGTGAGCCCATCACTTACTGTTGGATTCCTCACCCTCCAAGAAGTCAGCTGCAGGGCTCCAAGGCAGCCCTGTGGAGTGCTCATGTGAGAGACTGAAGTCAGCCAGCCACCATGTGACTGAGCTTGGAAGGAGTCCCCCAACTGCCCACACTCCTGCCCACTTGAGCCTTCCGTTGAGACCACAGCCCCAGCTAACAGCTCAGCTACAACTTCACGAGGACCTCAGACAAAGGCAACCAGCTAAGCTGTGTGCAGATGCCTGACCCATGGAAACATAATGTTTGTTTTAAATTATTAAGTTTTGGGGTGAATTATCCCACCGCAATAGATAACTAATACAACAAGCTAATGGGTTTTTTTTTGTGTGTGTTTTCTCCCTGAATTTGCTACAGCATGCTACAGACTCAGCTTTGCACCTCCCCACCACCATTACTGTATCTTTTTTTTTTTTTTTTAAGATTTTACTTATTTATTTGACAGAGATCACAAGTAGAGAGAGAGGAGGAAGCAGGTTCCCAGAGGAGCAGAGAGCCTGATGTGGGACTTGATCCCAGGACCCTGGGATCATGACCTGAGCCGAAGGCAGAGGCTTTAACCCACTGAGCCTCCCAGGTGCCCCCCAATTAATGTATCTTAGAGATCATTCTACATGAATATACAAAGAGTTTCCTTAATTTTTTCTAAAATGATTCCTTATTTCTCTGTTGTTTGGGTATACCATAGTTTATTTAACCTGCCCCGTACTGATGGACATTAGGTTTCCAAAGTCTTGGTGTCCTATAGGTTCCCGCAACCTTCCTGTGCTCCCACCTCCGTCCATTACACCTGTTTTCCTGGAATTTTTCAGTTACCTTATCATACCCCACCCACTCATCCAGTGAAAAAAGAACTCTGTTGGTATTTTTACTGGACTCGTATTTATAAAGTAAGGAGAATCATCATAGTGAGAAAACTTCCAGTGCTGTTGCTTTTTTGTTAAAGATGTTATTTATTAGCAAGCAAGTAGGGGCAGAGGGAGAAGGAGAGAACCAGAATCTCAAGCAGACCCTGCTGAGTGCAGAGCGCGATGTAGGGCTTGATCTCACAACCATGAGGTTATGACCTGAGCTAAAATCGAGAGTCATACGCCCAACCAGCTGAGTCACCTAGGCATCCCCCACCATGCTCCGTCTTTAAGCATGCCGTAGCTATTAGATGTGAGCTCTTTTCTATCTCCCTCTATTGGGGAAATAGATTCCTGGTGGTCAGAACCCCTTCCCTGCCGATGAGACAATCTTTTGGGATGAAGTGAAGAATTTAGGTTTCTTTCCTTCCTGTCCCTATGCCATCCACGTTTAGAAGTTCACCTCAAGGGCGCCTGGGTGGCTCAGTGGGTTAAAGCCTCTGCCTTCAGCTCAGGTCATGGTCTCAGGGTCCCAGGATCGAGGCCTGCATTGGGCTCTCTGCTCAGCGGGGAGCCTTCTTCCTCCTCTCTCTGCCTGCCTCTCTGCCTACTTGTGATCTCTCTTTCTCTGTCAAATAAATAAAATCTTAAAAAAAAAAAAAAGAAATTGACCTCAAAATTCTCTTGGCAGAGTAGCAGTTTTTCCAAATTGGTGAGATCCTAGGCTCCAAAGAGGAGGAATTCTGCCTGCCCAAGGAGGGTCCAGATTATGTGGTGACTGTGTTATGTCTAACTTTAATCTGAATAATGGGGGCCAGGTACCATCTTCAACTGTCCAAGTGTTCAGTTGTTTACGATGCCTCCACTCCACATTTGCATGGGAGGGTGCGCACTTGGAGGAGGTTCAGGGAGGAAGTACATCGACTCAGGAAAACTTGCTAAATTGCAAGTGACCCAGACCTGGGTTCAAGTCTCAGCCACTTACCAGCTAAGTGACCTTGGGTAAGCCATCTTCCATCTCGGTTTTAGTTTCTTCTTGTGTATTGATGGAGATGATGTTCTACCGCTTACAGGAGATATGTGAAGATACACAAGAGATATGTGAAGGGTTTTGGTAAATTTGGAAACATGGAGGGGTTGACATATACTCCAGACTTACTGGTCACCTACTAAGTGGGCAGCCATGCTGTGCTCTTGGGCACCTTCAACACTTAGCAAGCAGTGCA